TGTTTCCTAAGTACAGGCAAACTTGGGTAAAATGATGCATGCTTAGTTTTGTGTATCTGAGCTGGAAAGCTGATTATTGCAGCCAGAGGGGGCTGTTGGCCCTAATAAAAGTGCTCCTGTATTCAAGCACACTTGCCATATTTGGAGTTGATAGGTTTGCGTAAAAAAAAAAAGAAGTCACTTCCATAGTCCCATTTGGTCAATTTAAACATTTGTTTCAAACATTAAGCATTTGAACGTACCATCAATCTAATCTCTAAAGTTTTTTGAAATTATACTATATACTGGCTTATTTAGTGTGCATAAGAAATTATTGCACAATAAAAGCCTCAGATGAGAACTTTATAAATAAGATTAAATGTAATCCTCCAGTGAACCACCTCATGTCAAAACTACTATTCTTTTGAACCAAGTAGCAATGGGTTTTCTCCGCTTACAATTCAGTCCATGACAGTGAACCTCCACATTTGGTATAGTCTGCTTCTCTTCTTCACCATGTCATTGCTCCATCTCTCCTCTGTCATGAAGCAGTTGTTCTGTCAGAGATTCCAGACTTTTATTCTGACATAGGGTATGGTTGTAACACTTTTGGCTTCAGCAACTATAACTCAGTGAATTTTGTAGCTCGAGTTCTCAAACATCTATACAAAGTACTCAAATTTGTTCACTACAAATGGCACCAATTCAATCCTTTACAAGTATATCTCAGACCTCGTGATTTGATGTCAAATGCATTGTGTTGCCTTGTTACAACCTACCCTAATACCAGGTATTCCCTATTCACTGGTGGAGACGGAGTACGGAAAAGATCGAGTGCCAATACACACATCAACATGTGAATGGGGAGTACTGGTCACAGAGCTGACAAATGAATGCTGGTAACCCTGGAGTGCAGGCTTGGTGGGCCCTGATTGCAAAGGGTACTCTGTAAAATATTAGTTGAATGTAAAGGAGATGGTTGTAACACTTTTGAAAGAAGTGTTACAACACTCCCACCCCTGTCAGCCAATGTTTAGATGGGTGTTTTAGCATAGTGTTTTTTCAAGTGAAAACACCTGTGTAGGAAGGGTATGTTTCTGTTGGAGCTTTTGAATTTGAGAGCTCAGCTTTCATTCTAAATTGCTACATGCTATGTCCATTTTATAATTCAGTTAGCTAAAGACCTAGATAGAACCTACCCCAAAGAGTGAGTGGAAACCAAAAACAGCGCTAAAGTACAGTGAATATCACAATCAGAATCAGAATCAGAATCTCTTTATTCACTAAATGTGCAAGGTACACAGGAATTTGACTTTATGTTGCAGCACAATAAAACATATTTTTCATGGTAAAATTCTTTAAAAAGAGAAAATTAGTAAGAATATCTATATACGTTAGTGCCTGAATACCTCAATACACAAGTTAATAATACTATATTCTTCACTGCAACACACTGCAAGGTCTTGGAAAGTCCATAATAAGGAGTTGCATCATCCCATTTATACAGTATATGTGTGTGTGTGTGTGTGTGTTAAAGTGCATGTGCGTGCATGTATGTGTGTGTGTGTGTGGAAGGGAGGGCACTGGGGATGATGTGTGATAAGCGGTCGGGGTATAAAGGTCGAGCTAGGGTGGGTTGTTTAAGAGCCTGATAGCCTTATGGGGAAAGTAAACTGTTCAGGTATCATCATCTTGGTCCTGATGGAGCAGAACCTACAACCAGATGGAGCAGTCTGAGGAGAAACATCCTCTGATGAGCACGCTTGATGACAGTGGATTTGTCTCTCCCATTTCAGGTTGCTGGTGATGGTAGTAACCAGAAACGTGACGTTCTCTTCCACCGTTACTGCTACATTGTTGATGAGTAGTGGTGAATGCAGGGGTGGGTGTTTCCGGGAATCGATGACCAACCGTCTTGTTGTCATTGAGCTCCAGGTTTTTATCAGTACACCATGCTGCCAGCTGTTTCACAGTGTTCCTGTAGGCCACCTCGTCATTGTCTTTGACGAGGCCCAGGACCTTGATGTCATCAGCAAACCTAACCAGCTTGATGGAGGGGTGGCTGGAGTTGCAGTCATTGGTCTACAAATATTGGATTTATGTTCAGAAACACAACTCCAAACGAGTGCTGATGTTGCCCTGCAATGTGGTGGTTGTGTAAAGTGGCGTCTTCTTCGCCAAAAAGTCATCTTACAGTTTTTCTCAGTCACTTTGGTGCATTTCTCAGATCAGAATTGAAATTCTCAAAACTAATTGTTCAACATCCACATCATCTCCTCACTTGTGCACATCATAAAAGCACTTTCTCATTGTTTTAAAACAAATTGCAAATGACTTGACACACTGATGCAAATGATTATGTACAATTGTCTGCTGTTTCCTACATTATCAATTGCTTATGTCCTGCTGATCACAGTGAATTATACCAGTCTCTGTTGAACAATCTTACCCCCCAAAACATCTAGGCATAAGTTCATAGCATTTGTCACTACATGCAAAATGGTTGAACACGTTTTCAAAAATCAATGTTAAAATACTTTATTCATATCCTTTGCCTACAAGTATATACTGTAGCTAAACGAAATGTTGTTTCTTAAGGACCATAAACAAAGTAAGAATAGACCACAACAACATCACAATAGCAAAACTCATACCAATACCAGTAAACAGTAACAATACACAGTGAGCAGTAATATATATGTTTTTATATATATATGTTTTTTCCCCTGAGAATGGGATAATTAATTTTCTTGTGATCATGAGATAACAAACCATAGCTGAGGCAGGTGCGCTTTTTTAGGATTATTTCAAAGCAATTACCAGTGTCACTGGTTAGTTCAGTTGGTAGAGCACAGGGCTCAGTTTGATTAGTTTGATTCCAGTTCTTGTTGACTTTCTTTATCTTCTTTTGTGTGTATTATCCTCTTCAGCAAATTTGTTATGAAGAGATTAAGGGGAATCCAATCACACATTTCCCGACCGCTATTTCAAAGGTTCCGAAAGTCGTCAGGAAATGTGTAACGTTACATGGATTCCCCTGAATGAGAAGGAATTTCTGTCTCTGCCTGGGAATGATGGGGAAATGAAAAGTCCATAGGTTGATGGATGTGGACCAAGAACGCACAGAGTCCAGCATGTGCTTTACAGTAATGTGAGGTTGTGAAACAGTCTTTTCATAAGAACTTTGTTGAAGAGGATTATGAAAAATAGTCTTCAGTGAGAATTGAGCACACAACCTTAAACCTACAAGGCCTATGCTCTACCAAGTGAGCTAACCAATCATGCAACAAATCACGCTATAATTACCATTATGGTTATCTCGAAATCACGAGAAAATGATGAGTAAAAAAAGTGTAGCCTTGTGCATTTTCAATCATTGTCATCAAAATCTTAGCCAAAATGTACATCAGAAAATATTTAAAGGTTACTGTTATATTGACAAGATGGCTAAACATTTTGACTTGCTTGTTCATAAACAAGACACAAGGACTTGTCGTTCTGATGGCACTGACAAGTTCAATGACATAAAGATTTGCTTTTGAGAGATAGCAAGTTATGGGCTTTTGCAGGTAATCCACTGTGTTGTGCCGTTTGTACTACCTGTTTTGAGAAATGCACTTACTGTTTTGGAAATGTTAAGGATGATTCGATAAATGCACCAAAGCGACTGAGAAAAACTGTAAAGGTGATGATGTGTCAGTGTTGTGTTCATGGTTTGTTTCTGCTGCCCCCAAGCGGACAAGAAAACCAGTTACCTATGACCTTTTTTAGGATGATCATTTGTAACAAACATCAGATACACAATGCAACTCCCACTGGTCTATGAATAAAGCCTTTTGGTTGTTTGCCAGTAGGCAGCAAATACCTATTTTGTGAAAGTGTTTTGTGTGTTGAACTGATAGTGGATGGAGATCCAGCATTATTCCTGTTGCTGAGTAAGTGTTAGGGTGGAAGGATCTGATTTCTCCAGTGTTGGTTGCACTTTTCTAATTCAGTGTGGAGATGGATGAGGAGAGAAAGGCTCAGATACATGATTGATATTTACTTGGACAAAGTTCTTTGTAATGCCAAATGTCTTCGTGTTGGGGTTCACTTGTGACTGGCTGGGAAGGGATATTCTCTGTAACTACGTAAATACTGGCTCTTTATGCCAAATAATGAGGTTTAAATTCCAAGGAAGGCAATGCTTGCACATGTTTACATCAGATATTTATGGTGAACAAAGAAATGATTGTGGTGCATCAATAGGTATCAATAAATTGAAAAGAAGTGCATACACTTGTCATTGTATTGAGTCATTCTCTAAAGCTCACGGCTGAGCAGGGCCACTTTTCTGTTTTGTTTCTCATTCCTGCACAACAAATCTGTTTCATGAAGTGCTTTTGGATGCTTGAAATGGAAACATAATGCCAGTTTGGGAATATCAAGTCATCAGCTCTGCCAGCCTCCGTTCAGCTGATGTGTGAAACTGGTTTCTGGATCAGAACGACACCACAGACTGTCTGAGGGAGAGAGATCCAATCTGATGGGTTTGGAGTCAGAGAAAGCTCTTTGGATTGCAATAAGATACATAACATACGCACGGAGGAAGGAATGTTTGGGTTTACTCGGTGGGCATATGGAATAATTTTAGTAATTCTCTCTTTGTCTCCGCAGGTCTGTTCACTGTTAGCAAAGCATCTTTCTGTTCTAATTTACATTGGGATGTAGACATATTGTGTAATGGTGCCAGTGTGTGTGTATCCTCTCAGGAGTTCTGGAGCAACAGATAGGAACTTTTAGCCAGAGGATCATTACCACTGAGGGCAAGGCTCGGTAAGTGAATTCAACTGGACAAATTGTCTAAAGATGGACTTTCACAGAAACAATCCCGACTTTGTTCAAATCAATTTCTCTTTTTCTGCTTGCGAAGATCCAGGAAACCATTATTCAGTTTCTTTAAGTATCATATTTGTACATGTCTTTTTTGTTACTCCAAGTGACCAGAAAGACAGGAAGAAAGACAGAAAAGATAGACTTCATTGATTTCACTGGTAAAGATTTATTGTACAATTCTGTCAGGAAAGAGACAAGAAGGCAGTGTCAGACATGCAGAAGGTGAAACAGGCAAATATACAATCTATAACTTAAAAATTGTTAAAATACAGCATTCATTTGTTTGCAGTATCAATTCATAGTAATATAAAAACAACGAAGACACAGAGGTGACAAGATAAAAATCGGTCATTCATCGTTTCAGTGGTCTTTCCGGACAGGATTGAAGTGTTATGACAGCACTTGTAAAAAATAAATATTGGCCGTATATCAAAAAATCAAACTTAAAATCAAAGTTAATTTAACACACTGTCCTATGATTCTTTACACAAGGCTGATATTTATGCTGAGAAATGGTTTTATACATTCAGGAATACTTGTGTCAATCATCTTCACATGTAGTCTACAGTGTGTGTGATTGTTGAAATATACAGCTGTGTTTCCATCCTGACATCAGCTTTCCAAAATGTAAATGTAATCTCATTGTGCTTTAAAGTAGCCAAAATAACAGCTCACTATTCTCCAGTGCGAGACATAGATAGATAGATCGATAGATAGATAGATAGATAGATAGACAGAGAGATAGAGAGACAGCTGCCTACAAATATATTTTAATGAAGAGGAAACTACCCTAAAAAAATTGCTCATTTTGGCAAAGAAAATGCTGGCCCCCCGCAGGCTTGGAAACTATGGCAGAAAGCGTTCGCATTGTTAAATCTACACAACTTTGACATTCATATGATCAGACATTCATTTCAAACACCAATAAATCAACACTGTCAGCCTCATGGTACACTTAGAGCGCAAGGTAGAGGATTTTCTAAACTTAAGGGTGGCAGTGGATTTAAAATCCAGCTACAGTCAAGTAATATGTGTGTATAGTTAAGTTCAGCGCAAATACTTTTGTTTGTTCCAACCTGCATAACAGCCCAGATAGGTGGGCCAAGACAAATGCCAGAAAGTGTCAATAATCAAGTCCATTTGATTATCTGGCAGTATTTGTCCTGAGGTGCTATATGTGGCACACAAGGAATTTAAAAAATATTTTTAAATTAGCTTTTACTTGGGTCTGTTTGCTTTAATCCTCCAGACGCTGGGGTGCATAGATAGCTGTGTGTATGTGGGTCATAAATCTAAATAAAAAGAAGGAGGATGGAGGTAATCAAGATGTGTTGGAGTAGCATGGTATAAATATTCATCATCATGTGTAAGCTCTGCTGTGAATGGAGAGTAACCTGACCTGGTGAGAAAGGCAATGTGTATGTAGCAATATTCTGAAAAATGCATTTTATATATTTAACCAAAACCAAATCATTTGATACAGATGAGGAGAGTGATACATTCACCAGTAGGCGGACACACACCTCTGATGTGGATCCAGATAAAGGATCAAAATCAGACATACAAAATAATTGATTTGCCATGGCCAACCCTGATTGTTTGTCTGGGGCAGACAGTTCAGAGCATGTTTGTCATCTGCATCCTGGTTAGTGAGTAACATAGTGCTCCACGTGTTCTGCCACAGGAGCTCATTTTTCACGATACTGGAAGTTGTAAAGAGGTAAAGACTGGGACTTTAACAGTCAGATGCTCACTTCCACTATGTCCAATCTCATGGTTTAAACAAAAGACCATAAAACACATGCGCCTTTAATCTCTAACCTTTGGAAATGGCCTGTTTTAAAATGACAGAGATCACCTTCATTCTTTATACTGAATCGTGGTAAATCATTGTGACTGAACTGGCACTGGTTTCTAAATCTGCAAGGAAACCACAAATTTACTTCAACGTTTACTTTGAAATCTGTGGTCTACTCCCTTTTAAAGAAACAGTTGGGCTGACACTAGAGTGAAACACCGAGTGAAGGGTTGCAGAAGTTTCTTGTTCGGGAAAGCCAGAAATAGCCCAGTCCATTTAGTATCGAGATTGCAAAAGAACAGAAATGTGACCACTTCATTAAATCTTAGGGGACTTGCTTCATAAGCATTTTAGTACAAGACAGAAACAAACAGAAAATACGACAAAATTGTTTGGATGGTTGGATGAAACACTTCTTAAATAACTCAACTTGAGCTATTACCTGCTGACTTTGGGGAGAAAATATTTTTGCTAGTGATAGAAAATACCTTATGTAAGTCAAAAATACAGAAAATACATGATACAAAATTATTTTAAAACACTGGATTGAATATTTACATCCATGTTCCACAAGAGTTTGAGTAGTTCTTGCCAAGCGTTAGATGAGATGATTAATATCAATCTCTTGGCATATCTAACTATGAAGCTACAGCCAGCAGCTGCTTAGCATAACTTAGCATAAAGACTGAAAACAGGGTGAAACAGCTCGCTTGGTTTCGTCCAAAGGTAAAGAAGTTGTGGTTTTACAGGGGGGTTATGTGCGTGACTATTTCTCGTTCGGGAGCAGCAACTTCCTGAAGTCTTGAAGTCATTGTGAGTTTGCAAGACAACCAGCAGTGACTTCTGGGGGTCTCTGCTGGTTGTCTGGCAAACTCAGATAAAACAAAGAGCTTTAGAGTTTCTGGTAGGTGGATTTTATTATTTTTACACTTGTGAAAAGCACTTTGCAACTTGTTTTTGAAAAGTGCTCTACAAATAAAGATTAATATTCTTATTATTTTGTTACCTTTGGACAGAACCAGGCTAGCTGTATCCCTCTGTCTCCTGTCTTTATGCTAAGCTAAGATAACCTTCCGTTTTGTGACTGTAGCTTCTTGTTTAGAGTACAGAAGTGAGTGATATTCAATGTTCTCTAAATCTTGGAAAGAAAGCAAATATATCCCAAAATGTTGAACTATTCCTTTAAGACTACATCATACTCTCTCTCTCACACACACATACACACACACACACACACACACACACACACACACACACACACACACACACACATTATTCCAGTCTTGAATGTCCTTCTCATCTGCTGTCCATTAGCTCCTCTTCTTCTTCCTTCCTGCTTTTCAAGAGAAACTGTTCAGTCTCATTATTGCTACAAGTCCTTATGAGGTCTGTGCTTCTATTAAGTCTTTATTGCTAAATACTACTCTGGGCTCAAATACATCCCAATCATCGTGCATCATTAAAAATCCCAAGTTTCCACACATGCTGGTTTTGTTTGGTTGTTGAAGCTCATAGCAGTGTCTGGCCTCAAGCTGAGGGAGCTGAAGTTTCTGTACTGTATAGTACTGCTTGTGTAACTTCAATCTTTAACACTTGTATGTGAGTACTGTAACATTCATTTATGATGGTCCACAGTCATAAATACATCAGAGTCTGTGGTGTAATGGTAAGTACAGGGAGTCAGTATTTTTTTAAATGTAACCATCCTTCATTTTTCCACAGTCTTTTATCGCTGGTTTATTCAAAGTCTTTTTCCCCCTAAAAATACTGCATAGCAAGTATTTTCGATTGTTTTTGATGAGGATTAAAGATGTATATCACAGATTACAGGTATATAGTTATGTTATTGGCAGTGGATGTTTTAGTGTACAGCTATGCAAGATATTACTAAGTTAAGTGTATGTTTGTGTGCATGGCACATATTGCCAATAGTACAGTAGCCTGTGTGTGACCTCATTAGTTAACTGTGTTGCTCTCACAGGTAGGTGGTAGCCTCTCTGTTCTCCCTCTCTTTGGCCTGAGCCACGGCCACGTTGATGCACTGCAGCCACTCCTCCGCATGTTTCTCATCCTGAGCTTTCAGCACATACGTCTTACTGTCTGTGAAGATCTCAAAGGCCCGCGGCAGGCCCCGATCCCGCCGCTTCCTGGCTACCACCTATAGGTGAAAAAAAGAACAAGAAAGATGAGAAAAAGGAGGAGGAGAGGATGACAAACTCAGACTTGAACAGCTGTCTTCTGGGAAGAGATGCTGCTGTAATTTTTGAGATTGATGTAATTTGGCTTTATGTAGCCACCTCTTTTCTTACTTCACAGCTGTAAGGCAACCCTGCTCATAGCATTTGGGGATGTGATCTGCCTTCTTTAATTATGTAAACTCTCATTGGGGAGGATTTAGACCTTCCACACTGTACACTATAACATGATCAGATGATATAAGTAGCTTTAAAATGACAACAATGTCACCTCCTTTAAAAGTAGTAGCAAAACCACAGCTATGAGACCAGGTAAACAGCTAATAATGCTAAAAAACACATGAAGATCAAAAGGTTTTGGGAGCAGATTTGGGAGAGACAATGAACTCCTCACCTTGACACTTTGCACTTTGCTCAGCTCAATAGGGATGTCATCCAGCTCGTCTTTCTATGGGTAAAGAATCCATCCAAACAAAAGAACAAATGAAAACCTTAGATGGTAAATCATGTAAGTTTCCAACAGCAATTGTACCATATCATTTGTGGATGTTCCCTATCACCTGGAGCTGTACAACCTGTGCTCACCGACTTAATGCAGGCTTCAGAAAAGAGATTTTACTAATAATGAATACCATGTTGTGCATTTGTCATTGGTAGACGACAACTCCACATCTTTTATTTAAGTGAAAATAACTTGTTCTTTAATAATTCTCAGTTACAAGTATAATGCATGCATTCAAAATGTTACTTATATATAAATAGGTCACTGTTACTTATTATATTATTGGATTATTATTACTGATGCATACATATGTAAGAAGCATTTTAATAACGTTGGTTGAGGTGGAGCAAATTCTAACTATTTTATATACTGTTCGTTAGTTTATCCTGTAAAAATGTATCATATTTATAAGAGCTTGTGTTAATCTGATAAAAAACTATAGTTGTAAAAAAAATACAGTGATGTGATTCTTGATCTTCAGCCATGTTAAAAAGCTCTTTGTACATTTTAAGTATTTCAGTACCTGCTGTTGCTGTTGATATCACATGTAGCCTCCTGATTTCAGCACGGTGTTGTTTACAGTTCATTCTACCTCAGAACAGTTACACTTCCAGCTCTGCTGCACATCACCTCTGTGTTTTACCCCACTAAGTGTCAATTTGAATGTGTCTCTTTGTAAGTGTGTGTGTATTGCACCATAGTCATGTCTTCTTACACCACAGTTAGATGTGTGTTTATAACCACATAACCCTGTGTTTATAACCACTTAACCAGAGCTCGCTGCAGGATTCATGGCAACTGCCCACATCCTTTCTGTGTTTGTTGAAAAGCATTCAGTTGGATGTTCACAGTTTTACCTCCCGGATAGCTGTGCTGAGGGTCTGATTGCTGTTTTTCCACAGTGGATTCACGTCAGTGGATTTGTGTACTGATTTAAATGGACATTTGATTGATGTTTAGCCATATGATGAAATGTTTTATCATGACCAAAAAGTCCATTAAGATATTTTCATACATTTAGACTAAACACACTACTTTTACTAGTATTTTGAATCTTTGTTGTGCACCTTATTTATTCTTTCATTGCATTTGACAGCTTGCATTTCAGGAGACAATGATGCTGGTATGAAGCCAAAGATTTGAAGATCCTGTGGATTGCAATAAATACTAAATGCATCCAGAGAAATTAGTGAATTTTCATCTGTATTTATTGAGACAGTAAATTATGTATTTATTATTATCATTATACAATTAAAATTATTTGTCATACTTGTATACTGACAAAAACTTTTTTTTCTTGTTTGTGCTTAACAGCACAACTACACTTAGCTGCTGCATAGAAGCGGTTGGGCAGCTGCATGTTTGTTTTTTGTGTTTCTTGTACTCTTATTTTCATAAATCAAATCAACTTGTAAATAAATGATATGCTGCATTTTGGAGTTTCTTAGTGTCAAGTGGCAAGCATTTAATGACTCAATAATAAGTTTCACTAACAAAAATGAAACAAGACATAATTACTTTAATGGACTAAGTAGCGCAAGACAGTTTTAGGTGTCTTGACAGTAACACAAATGAAAACTAATGGCTGCTTGGAAGGTAGGGAAATAATATTCAGCATGTTTTAGCAGCAAAAATAGCAAAAAGTAACAGTTTGGTACACTGAACACATCCTTCATTCTCATATTATTCTCATTTAATATTACTCTCTGTCTCTATTTTTTTCTGTATTCCTGCATGAGGTCTTGCCAAATTGAAGTTCAGGCCTGCCTGTAGTATGGCATCACTCTTTGTCTGGTCTCAATAAAGGAGAAAATACAGTATTCAGCAGAGGAGCTCAGCAATAACCTGCAGTACAGATAATATAGGAATCTTCCTTTTTAGAATGTTTGATTGACTCGGTATATGCTCATGGAAATGTGGCACGTTAAGAGTGAGATGCAAGACTTAGCTTTGTGTGGTTTTGGGGAATGTTTCAAACCCCTCAGTGTGTCAAAGCTACTCAACCGTTCAGTTTTCACATTTTTTGGTTCTTAATCTCACTCCCCATTTGGGAAAAGGTCTTTCACAACACGCCAACCACCTCCAGTTCATACTGGCAAAGATGGACTGAGCTCCGAGAAAAAAGCCACAAAACCTTTCCAATTTGTGACTGCTGCTAAAAGAGAGGAATCCATAACCATCTGGGTAGGAGCACAAAGACTATTGTTTAGAGTAAAAAAAAAAGAAACAAAAGAGAGCTCAAATCTACTAGACAATATTCCCCCTGTTTCCAGATTTTCCTGTCATAGCCCTGCTTCGCTCTAGTTTTTAGGAGCTGATTGTGTAAACACGGCGCTGTCTAAAGATCCAGAGGAAACCCGATCTCCTGTTGGCTGTGAAAATGATTTCAATTATAATTAATTGCTTGTAGATGGCTGCCATAAACCAGGATAAAAGCACGGAGACACTCAGATGGTGTAAGTTTCCAAATAAATTGGATTTTCTTATGAACAGAATATATTTTTCTGTCAGCTAGACAAGATCAAACTTGACAATTTTTTTTAGCAAACATTTTCAGACCTCTGACCTCAGCACATGTTTGATCACACTCCATGTTTTTGATTAGGCAATATTTTGCACAATAATTCTCTGTTCAGTGACCTCACCCTTTGTTCACCAGCAAAGTTGGGAAGTTGGAGGAAAAATGATTGCTGTTTTTGTTGTTGCAACCCACAGGAACTCACCTTTACGTTTGGTCTTTCTCTCCCTCACACGTACTTTACGAAACTGTACCTCTTGTGTGTTTGCTACTTGTGCGTAATGATATCTGCTTTGAGTTATAGTGGGTGAAAGTGACTCATGTATTTGCAGTATCATGCTTTGGCCTTGGGAGTCCCCCAAGAGTCCTGAACGGAGCCAAGGTTTGTTACAGTCGGATTCACCGGATGCTCCTGAGGGACAGTTGAGCTTATCACGGGATTAGGTTTCCACTGTTTCAGAATTTCATCATGATTCAAATGACGTGGAACAGGGGAAACATTAATGAGGGTTTTCTGAGTGGGAGGCCAGGGACAGTGTGCATGCGTATCAATGTGTTAGTGTGTTTGTGTGTGAGGAGCCTTCGTTTTCACTGGCTACGTACTGATTTGCCTCTCCGGAAGAGAAGCTGGTTTCCCGCCAAGGTGAAGTAACGGGTTTTCCAGCGCTTGATGAACTTCCAGCGGACCTGCTTCTCCTTCAGCTTCCCCTCAATCAGAGGCTGTCCCTCCTGGTTCACAACTAGATACAAACACAGAACGGCAGACAGAAACAAAGGAAGACACAGACAAAAAGAAAATGTATTAGTGTTTTTAAGAAATGTTTCCCCCATTTACTTTACATAACTGCTGACCATCAATGGGCTGATCTCAAAGGTCTGTCACTATGATGCATTCAGGAGCTGGTGGGAGGGTCTGACATGAGCTATGTTTCCAGAAAATGGAGCCTGAAAGGTAAAAAATATGCGAAAATGGTGGTTGTGAAATAAATAATGTGGCATGTTTGGCAACCAATCAGTTTTTGGTTTCAACTCTGCATGTTGATTTTTCTACCAGAGGACAAGCCAGATCTAGCCCATGAGACAATTTCACAAGACCCCCTACATAGCCCCCCTAAATGAATTTATTATTACATCTGGCTCGCAAATGTCTATTTTCCTATTTCTTTCCCTATTTTGATTTTTCCCCAGTTTTTATTTTACAGTAATCATTTAATTTTCTAGCAAGGCTGTAACATCAGAGAATAAAAGGCTTTTTATTTCATGTATAAAGTTTTGCAGATTGCACCTAATTGTACAACTTCTCAACACTTCATGACAAACAGCACTCTGATTTACCGCATCATACACCACAATGTCTCTTTTTGAAACAAAAAGAAAGTTTGATCTGGAGGATAGGTTAATGTGACTACTTCCTGTCTAATCTCCAACAAGAAAGCTGTCGTTCTCTAGGAAAACAATCTCAGTGGCATTTCTCTTCTAAACATGCGGAGCACTCAATGCACTCGACGTCTGAGTATAGCCATACAGTTTATATGTAGTGTTTATTTATTAAAAAACACCACCACGTGTTGAATAGCGAAATGAATGGAAACCAGTGGCTGCCTGCAGCATATGAAGAATGCATTCCCAAACTGAAAAGACTCAGGTATGCTTTGGATATGGGCTGGGAGTAACACAGAGCATATGTAATTGGTAGTGCATAGCTAAATATACAGTATGAAAGATATGTTGCAGATATGTTGCATTTAAGACAAGAGCAGCTTGATTCTGGATCCATCAATAATAAATGTTAGTAAATGCACCCCATGTAGTGAAACCTGCAGATCTCATAGATCACAGAGTACCTGCCCTCTTCATGTCCCCGTAGATTTCTCCTGATAAAGTGAGAAACATTAAGCATTTCTAAAGAGTGGCACAACCCTGTTGATCTGAGACTTGCATCATGAATTTACTGTAAAACAAACCAGTTCGGCATTCACATAGTTATTTTGTATCTTAAAGTTCAATTCTGTCCTCAATTTCCTTTACTGTTTATTTATCTGTTTCTGTCTCTTTAGTTCTTTGCTGTAACGTTTTATAACCCCAAAGCACCTTGAACTGCATTTTTATGAAATTGTGTGATACAAGCAAACTTGAACTTTTCCACTTCCAGTCAACATTAATGGCTTGTTTGTTTTAAATCAACACAAGCATGTTGTCTCGTGTGTGTGTGTGTGTGTGTGTGATCAGATAGAGGAGGCCTCCCACAAAGTCGGGTCTGGATCTGTCTGATTAGAAACACACACCAACGTGAAACTCCTGGACTAAGTTGGATCAAGTACTGATTTGAGTGTGTGTGTGTGTGTGTGTGTGTGTGTATGTGTGAGCGTCTTATAATCGCATGCATCAATGTGTCTGCGTTTATGTAAATGGCTTTTTGCTTGAATACAAACGGTTTATTTTGTTCCGACTGACACCAAAAAGATGAATCATCAAGTGATCACAGATTTTCAGTAACTGATGAATTGAGCAGTTGTTTCAATGTGTGCATGTGGTGTATGCACGTGTGTTACTGTGTACTTGGAGAGACTGTGGCTGGTTCAGGTTTGGTGCCAGCAAACCGGGACTTCAGATGTTGACCACCAAACAGAGCCACTCTTTGTATCCACAACGATGAGAAAAGCAGTCAAGAGATTACTTGCAATCTGATCAGAGTGTGTGCGAATGTGTGGGCATGCTGGAAAGATGATTTAAGGAGGTGCCCGACGCCAAACAGGACAAACCTTTAAAGGCCATCAGAACCTCACATAACACGAGAGGAGAAAGTGTCCTTTCTGCTTTTCTGTTTTCACATCAGTGTCAATGAAATTCCTCTCTGTTTTGTTGACAGATTGTCAAACAAAACTTTATAAAGCATTAAAAAGACATTACTACAGATTCTTATCTGAAAACTTTTTATGGGCATTTAATAGTATGTTTTGACATTTTATAGACTAAATGATGAATTGATTAATCAAAAAAAAGGTGTATTAATTGATTAATGATAATTATCCTGAACTTCAGCCATAAACATTATACAATACAACATAATTGGAAACACCTTGCTATGCAGGGCGGTAACAGAAACATTGGGGTCAAAATACCCAAATTTATTTTCTCATTTACCTCTTGTGGTATCTAGCCATATTTATTTATTCTATCCAGGTTTTGAGATAGCTGTCTCTGACCCAATACAATAGAGGTGAATAGAATTCAGTTTTCGCTGCTCTTTTTTAGAGAAGATGTTTAAATGTAAGTTTGACTGGATGAGGGTAAAGTTTGATAATGTTTTGAATGTTTCCTATATTGTACTGATGATTCACTGGGATGCCGAGCGTCTGAGTAAAACATTTGCATCTTTCTAATTGATCTGTCTGTGTGTCTGTGTACAGTCCACACCCAGTTCCTGTCCGCCTGTTCAGACAGAAACACTGCTGAGATGAGGCACTGCGGCTCATTTGCGTCATCTAACAAATATTTCAGTTTTTTGGGGGGTGCAGAAATAAACTTGTCGGGTGCATAAATCACCGCGCCTCGTGCCATCTCTTTGCTTTGATGCATACACCTGGAAATTGATCCCTGGATTTGTTGTTCGCCTCAGGCAAGTAGTTCACAACCCCTCATCCGAGACACGCTGACGTCAAGCAATGAGACGAGGACACAAACAGTGGTGGAAAGTAACTAAGTGCATTTTCTCAAGTACTGTGTCTGTATTTACTGTATATATAAGTTTAATTAGTTATTAGATTTTTACTGTAGTCAGTAAGGAGGTATTAATTAACATGTTTCCTTATGACCACGACCCTGCAATGATGATATTACCAGAATATCAAATAGCACCCTCGAGAAACGATGTCTGAAATTATTATTATCAGCCAACTTCTCTAACTCTCAAAACTCCATCCGTGGTAATGACACGGAAACTTAAGCACAACGTGGTGAACATCTCTCTTTACTGAGGGAATCTCCTGAATTTGCAAAATAATTCCTGGAGGTGAGAATTTCTGTTCAGCGTGTCTTCACGGGTTGATGATTGAATGCTGGAGAGTCTCGCTTGGGGTTTTCCATCTTTTTGCAAACAGAGGACCTGCCTTTCACACACGAGTGAATGTGTTCTCAAATCCACATGTAAAGGCATGAGGGATGTTTTGTGTGTGTATGTAATTCACTCAAGGCAATTACAATTCCCTTTTCTCTTGTAAGTTTGGTGATGAGGTGATGGCATGTTGTCGCCATCCAAGTAAAAACACTCAACAACGGCAGAAACACAGAAAAAAAACCAAAGATGGTGAACCTGTGTACCTTATTCTGGCATGTCCACACATACAGTACATGCACAAACACGCACACAACTCTGCTCATTACCGCTCACTTCAAAGGCATTCCAGTAGTTAAACTCAACAGTAGATCATAAAGCATCATGGAGTGGCAGTAACCACTGGCTCCACTTTGGCCTTCGCAGTGGAAAACACTTCACCTTTCTCTCTTTTCTCCTTTACCATTAAAACACCAGCTCCTTGCTTGTGCGTTGTAACCTCTGCCGTAATCACAACGAGCCACTCCGGCCAAGTCAGCAAGATTTTTATTATAGTAAAGCAATATAAAGCATTATAAAGTATAACTCTGGCTGGTGGCAGCTGGTAATGTGAACACTGTGGTTATATGCTGCATTTATAATGAAAATAAAAAAGCGGGTCACCTAAAAGTGAAAAAGTTCCAAATCCAAATTGCACAGCGTCTAAAGTGAAGCTGTTAAATTTGTTTCAGTGACATTAGATGAGTCATCACTGTCATTTACTGTAACTTGAACTAATATACTGGATGCAGCTGGACAGCTTTCAGTTAGACAAGTAAGAACGTTTCCAGTGGACACCTTGGGGCTTGTTTTCTGGCTCCACATTGTGGGCTTGTTTTATAGACATTTTCATTTTGGTGAAAGACCTCTTCACAAACCATTTGAATTTGTGCACAGTTTCATGTACATGGACCATTTGAATTTGCAAAGAGTTTCTGTCCAGTGTTTGATGGCATGGATACAGGAACTAAGGTACAATCACTAACCCAAAGTATTAAAGTGCTATACAGTATGTAGCATTTTGTCTTTCTACTAACTAAAAACAACTTTCCCGTAAATCCATTCAGGCAGCAAAGAAGTTACCTCCCACCTTGTTTTGATGAGTTTGTGTACCGCAAAGCAAAAACGGGTTCCTATTATTTGCTTTGAAGAAATTCAGTACATCAGTATTGATGAATGATCAGCTGCAGATAGTGTTGCTGGTTGGAGGTAGCCTTTGATGCTCAATTGACTTGGAATGTGTTTCAATAAAAATGTCCTCATTGGGTAAAGCTCCATGCTGCAGAGAACAGCTGACTGTGTTTGTGTTTTAGCTCCAACCTTAACAGTGATTCAATATATTGGCTTTAATGATAGTGATTAAGGCTCTGCAGCTACAGGAGGTGTGTCCGAGTTTGACTCTGATGCAGAGTGACTCTGATCTGTCTGTTTAACCTGATTTCTTCTTAAAATTATGGGTGGTAGGTTTATTGATATCATTAACAATGTTAATGGGTTTTAATGAGCCCAGGTTTCACAGTGGTGCGCTGGGTTAATTTAATAGTTTAACACTTAAGCCTCATTTGGAAAAAATGAGACAAGTAGACATATTATTGGTTTAATAACAGGTCAGACTTAAGCATAAAAGATGTATCATGGGCCTAAATGCAATTAGTTCAGGTAAAAAGTGTATTACTGTTTAAAAAAACTTGACTAGATATTGTGAGGAATAAGTGATCAAATATACTGGATTTCTTTTGTAATTTGGGTGAACCGAACCTTTATGCCATGAAAGACGAGCGGAGTAGTAGAATAGCCAAGGACACAAATGCAAGAAGTAAACACATGTATCCACATGCTTCCAATCACACAGTCCCAGTGGGAAAGTACTACTACTCCTTTTGTAAATCCTCCTGTAATGTAGAGGCTGGCATGAATCTAAAATGTAATCATCCGTTCCTTGCAGTCATTCAGCTGGCTCAGTGATTACACTGGTTTGTTCTGAGCAGCAGAACTGGAAGAGTGGCTCACATTTGGCTTTTGTACTGTTTGGATCGGGCTGTGTGTGTGTGTGTGTGTGTGTGTGTGTGTGTGTGTATGTGTGTACCTCTGTGAATCTGTGTGAACCTAGCTTAATGATTTCGTATAAATGAGCCGAATGAATCTTAATTCTACCTGAATGGATGAAGATCATTCATCAGTCACTAAATTTTATTATATCTTGAAGACTGATGAAGTAAATTAGACTGTGCAGTGTTATTCCAATTTTGCAATGTTGTCTTCAGCTAGTTAAAGCTTATACTTAATTAACTTATACTTACTTAACTTATCTAAGTTATAGATACTATACTGTATCTAATACTGCAATATAGTGTCATACTGTCAATTTCCATATAGACTATAACTGTGGAGAAAAGGATGTGTTATGGCTGCTTTAGGTCTTTATTAGCAGAGAAGATTGTACTGGGTTGCAGTACTCCTGGCAGAGGACATGAACACAAAACTTTAATCAGAACTGATGGCAGGATAAAAAATAAATGTGGAAAATAAGGCAACAGTGTATTTGGAATTAGCCCTAATAATACTTGAGCATTTCCTCTAATACCGGTGACTGTTTATTATTAACTCTGACATATAGTATAAGAGTGAGTTTGTCCAACTAGTACAAAACCTCAGACTCCGAACTGTTAACTCCATTGAACCAGTTTGCTTTTATATTGAAAGGCGTTAGGTCTGAACTGGGGCCATGTAAATACGATCCCATACTATCAACACAAATACACCAAAAAGAACATGCTGACGCTATGCAGATAGGCCTGGGACGACCAAGGTCCGAACCCTTCTTGCATTTCTGTCCTTGTGGCCTTGCCACTAACAATGTCTGTGATCTCATACTGGAAATACATTATGACCTTAAATATCAATGTGAATGTTGAAGAACTTTACAGTATATAATCAATCCCATGAATTTTTATTTAGTTTGAGACATACTCTGCACGTCTTTCTGGCATACAGGGTCAGTTCACCCAAATTACAAATTAAATACAGTATATTTGATTATTTATTCCTGGTGGTATCTAGCCAAACACAGGTTTTGAGATAACTACAGTATCTCCACCGTAATACAATGAAAATTAATTTTGTTTGTGGCATGAAACAGCAACATATCTTTCTAGTAAGAAATTCACTAACCTCACTGTGAACAGTTTTCATTGGAAATGCTTTCTAATAAACAAAAAGTTCCTGTGAAAACAGAAACGTCAGAGAGGCATATCAAAACCTAGGCAAATAAAACCATCTAGATTACTTGATAACACCAAATATAAAGGGGTGAGAGTTTTTTTAACATTAGTACACTTTTTACCTAAACTAATTGCAGCTCTGCACAGGAAACCTCTTTTATGCAGCATGCACTCAGTGTATTTAAGTCCGATATTTATTCAATCACCCTGTTGTTACACTAAGTTGTATTTGCGAATATTTTAAATAAATTATTAATTTTCTTGAGATCTCATAATAACCCAAATTCAACACAAGTTGTGGTAGTCCAATCTATAATCTCAACGTTTCTTCCTCCAAAGCACACAAACATAAATAAACACATACACATGCACACATGCTAAACTTTAACTGCATCCCATCTGCCCATTTCCTTCCTTTACCAAACTTCCTGCCTCTTGTTTTTAACTTTCTGGGAAATACCTGCTGGCTTCTTATTAGCAGTCATCAAACAGCAGAGCCTGAAACACATTGTTGCTTGCTGGGACAAAGGTTTACAGATATTTATTAGTGCCACTACAGTCGATTTTGAGTTCACTTTCTCAGAAGCCAGTCTCTCTCAGTTTGACCTTTTCTGCCCTCTCCATGTTTCACAACATCTGCCTTAAACTGCCCTCTTGTAACTCCTCTTATATAACTAATAACAGCTTCCATGTGAGACTGAGATAAACACAGATTGAAAGCCTGTTTCCTAAACACTGTCACATTTGCTCTCATAAGGCTACACTGTCACACGTTAATTTATACGCTCTGTTAAAGTATCACCTACACACTGTCTTTGTGCTTTCTTTGTTTGTCAGAGTGGAGAAACAAGTGAGACTGACAGGCAACAGAGAAGAGACGCCTAACAGCAAAATCAAGCCTGAGCGAGAAAGTCTGAATAGCGAGGAGCCACTGTGTGGGGGACAAACGGATGAAAGAGGTGTTTTTGTTTTTTATTTGCTTTTTAATGTGCTTCAAACAGTTTCCCTATATTTTGATCACATTTTAAACAGTTTTAAGCCTCGAGTGTGTAGAGTTGTAGAGTTGTAGAGTAGACACACGGCGCTCTAAATGTGATTTGTCTTCATTAGGACAAAGTGCTCATCGAAGGGGGGTCTCTGGTCCAAAGTAAACTAATCAGAACTGAGTCATGATGGCAGTGACCCTTCATCACAAAACTGAAATCAGTCAGACAGTTATTAAATAAGAGCTGCTCTTTGCTCCGTTTTCCTTCAATGTTCTGGGAAACGATTATTCCTCTTGAAGGCATTGTGACTAAAAACATCCCATGAAGCTCTGCGTTGGTTTTACCATCAGACCCCAGGGAAATACAACTGTGCCCAGCAAAGCTGATGAGATGACTGGAAATGAGAAAAACATCTTTTAGAATCCCACTTTCCAATTTGTTCATTGCTCTGTTTAGAGAGGACAACAAAGGCTGGGAGCAATTCAGGGGAAACCGCAGTGAAATGTCAGGCAAAGTGTTTATTTTTTGATGGTTGTTAATATGTGTTGTAAAGGTCAATTTATCCATGCTTTCTTCCTGTCTTTTTTCCTTGTGCATTTCCTCTTTGCCTAACCTTTTTTTAAAAATAGTTTTATGGCCATGAATTTATTGATTCTGTGTGGTTACTTCATCGATCAGTGTGTTCATCGTTGTCATTTTAAATTCAATGTATATGGAACAAACAACAATCTTACAATCTTTCTCCAAGAACTTATTCATCTCCAGGTGACGTCAACTTCTGAAGTCAACATTGTCAGCTGCTCCTATGAAAACTGTCACGTAATTCCTGTCTGTGTCTCCTTAATGAGTATTCTCATGCGGGGGCAGCTGTGGCTCAGGAGATAGAGCGGGTTGGCCATTAATCCGAAGGTCGTAGGTTCAATCCTGGCTCCCCCAGGCTGCGTGTCAAAGTGTCCTTGGGCAAGATACTGAATCCTGGCTGTTCTGCCAGTGTGTGAGTGGTGAATACAGATGTAGTGTAAAAGTGCTTTGAGTAGTCAAAAAGACTAGAAATACAAATACGGAGCTTTTACATTCAAGTTTCACTGCTGCCAAGACAACAATCTGAAAATGAAAAACACAAACTGCTGTCAGGGACGAGGTGGAGGCGTCCTGTTTTGTACAAACCTCTCAAGGTTTGTTTGTCTGAAACGGATCTGGTTCATCTGGACCTCTAATCATCGTTATTATATAGTGCTTATATAATAGTGTTTAAGAGTGTGTGTGTGTATGTGTGTGTACCTGTGGCCTTCTCGGGGTTATTACACATGAAGCAGAGCCAACCTCCCTCTTCCTCACTGTAGCCAAACAGGTCAAAGAAACGCACCTCCTCTAGCTGAATCTGGAGACTGTCCAGGTCCTGAAGACAGAGAAAAGAAAACGGAATATTTATTAAAACTGTCCTGTAATTTTATTTAAACGTTCTAGTTGATATGCCTTTTTCACGGCTTTTTCACGGCTTTTTCACACTTCACGCAAGGAAAAGCACAAGTGTAAATGTAAAAAACATTGTAAATTATTAACGAATGATAGCTGAATTCCATTAACTGCTTCAGTTTCAGGGTCCTGTTGCATGCTTGCTCACTGTCAGACTGTCATGACCTACTGGGACACTTGAATATAACAAAGCCATTGTTGGTGTTGCTATGACAATACTGAGTTTGATCCATCCAATACTATTTTTAATAGTTTTCTCCTACATACAGCTGCACAGTGCACACTTACAGTAGGACTGAATTAAAAATAATATGACATTAGAATTGCTCTATATTATAAAAGTAAAGCCTGCATCACAGATTGTCTTTAATGGTCTCCTATAATATTTTCTTCAGTGTATTTTATATAACATCTGTGGAGGCAGGAGTGTCAGTGTAGGTCTGCACAGAAGAGCTCTATTTTTTTGTAAACCAAAGTGGCTCTGCTCACATTGTTTGTTGCTGGCTGATGTTTATATTTATTGTACACCTGTGTGGTATCACCTGTAGGTCACACACTCACAAGACTGTACATCAGATGACATATCCAGCAGTTTTACAGAGCACAGTGGTTTGTTTTCGAACAATTGGTCTACCCAGAGGAAGGTTTATCAACAGCATCAGGCTTTTTATTTACTGCACGAACACTATAAAGAGAAAAAAGAAATGAGACTTTACAGGAGACGTACCAGCCTGAAGAAAGGCTTGTTAAAGCTGCAGTACATGGAGACACATAAAATCACAAGTGTATACACACAAATTATAATTGACTTAAGAGCATGACATTATAGTTATAGACTGCGCAACTTTGCATTAGTGTCTGTGTGTGTTTGTGTCAGAATAGAAATTTCAAAATCCCTGAAGACCCCACGCACATGGTAAGAGTTATACTTCACTTCAAATACACACAAACTTAACTTAACTTAACACTTAAACACATGAGATGATATTCATCTTCGGCTGGTTTGGAGAAAAACCGACACATTTAAGGAGATGATGGATCCTGTTGTTCATATCTGCATGGTTTCACAAAATCTCTCTATAATGAATTCACGGTTTATATATCCAGCAGAACACTCTGCTTTTTCATTTCTCTAAACTCTATACCCGCTGCAGTCATTTTACATTTCCCGGTGACCCATTCAAGAACGAGTATCACTACCGCAAAGTTAGACTCACATGAGATGCCCGGAGGGAGCTAGATTTTACATGTATTGGCTGGGCTACTAGTGTGTTTGATCTTTAGACCTGTGCCCCTTCAGTCCTTGATGTTAATGAGCCCCCCCCCCCTTCTTCTGTACTTTCCCTTAAGTAAGATTATGAATACTGTTGCATTGGTTCTTACGTCTTACTTAAAACTGAGGTAAGTGTATTTTTCAGCCACTTGGGGACAGCGAAGCAAAGTTTTTAGCAAACTGTTGCTGAATGTTCACTCTCTTTAAGCTCTTTTTGGTCTCCACCAACTCCTGAGGGAAATATCTTTAGCTTCTAAATGCTCCACTATGTTCAGCAGCTAGGCGTTAACTGTGTCTGTCTGCTATTCATCGCTGAGCAGGTAGTGTACAGAGGGGTTTTTGGAGCTTTTTTCTCTGAAAACAAAAGTATGACAGCAGAGTGAGAGTGAACCAAAACAGTAAAGTTGCATCCAGACAGCTAAACAAAGAGCTGAAACTCACTATAAAGTTCTGTAAATCCGCTGGAAGGACATTGGCATTTATTACAGTGTCATCAAAAAAATATCAATTACAGCTGCTTTAAGTGGAGGATTTGAATACTTCCAGACAAAAAGTTTAAGTTGCTCACCCAAGGCAATAATGTTACACAGAAAAAAGTTGTTGAAGTCAAATTGTGCCTGCAAAAACTGCCAATGTTGCCACTTGAGGCTGACAAACAGGAATTGCTCCTGATATTCACTATTCACTCAATAATTTTGGCTCTTTTTTTTAATATTACCTTTTCTGGATTAGACAATCCAATTCATGCCTAAATTGCTTTAACATTGTTTACTGATTACAAAACAAAGCTGATTAATCTATTGTCTAAAATGCAACAAGCAAAGGAAGGACAGAAGCGGAAAGACGATGAAAGGCAGTCTGACTCAGAGGTTGAGAAACAATGTGTGAGAGAACAAATCAAAGCCCAAATGTTTTGCATAACACAATGAGAAATGAATCATTAATGAAGTGAAATGAGTAACATACCACATATTTTGCTTCTTTCATTCCTTTCTCCATTACCAGAAGACCTTAAACGACAGTCTGAGATCGACCTGTTTAGAGTGACATATTTGCAGCCGGGCAACAGGCTGATGTGGACAAACACAATACAAGATGAAGAAACAACAGCTGGATTATGTGATTCTGAATATAATCCCTCTATCCTCATGTAACCCCCTTTACTCTTTGAATAAACCCCTCCCTCTATTTAAGCACCCCCCCCCCTCCATCACTGTTTGTAGATCATCATTATAATTTGATCAAGATGCAAGATTGTAAATGAACATGACCCCTGACGACTGAAGGCAGGCTGCAACAACAACGACGGAGAGCTGCACTGAATCTGCACAATGTGTCCAAAACAAAAGCAACTATTGTTCTCATATTAAGTTTTAAAACGCTATTTTACTGAAATAACAGAAGAAGTCTTATTTATCTTTGTCATTTTTGTTAACTCATATACATCAAAATTTCTCTTTGCAGGTATTACTACTACATAGTTGCTTGAGGAAGCTGTGTGAAGTCTGATAAATTGCCTCAAGTGATGTCATTTGAGTCGACATCTATTGGGGCTTTAAATTTGCTTATGAAAAAAAATCTTGTGGTATAGAGTTAGAAAGTAGGGAGCTTACTTGACCAAAGCTTGAGGCTAGTGGTTTGAGACTACTATAGCTGCTACTACTGTAACACACCTGAATCTCTTTGACCAAGCTGTTGGAGGTCAGGGTTGCATTGTGGGTAATGTAGGTGCCAGGTTTTGACATGGAAGAAGAATACATAGAATAAAAAAGATGATATCTCTGGTTCTGCAGCATTGATTTAAATTTTTGAGTCCGACAATGTTATAAGATAGCAATCCTAAATTGGTAGAGTGTTCTTTTAAAAGCCTGGATAAAATGTTAATTCACTACAAAAACAAACACATTCTGAGGTTATCTTTTTGGAAAAGGTGAGAAAATGTGTTATTTTCACATTTAAAAGAATCACTCAGTAACTGATTAAATGTGATATGGCACAATCAATTTTAAGATTAAGCATTGCACATCTAAGATCAATTGGGCTAAATGCTTAGGAGAGGAGAGAAGAGGGGAGCAAATGAGAGAGAGAAGAGAGTAAACAAGAGAAGAGGACACAGAAGCTTTTTGGGGGTTTCCTGAACACACTTAACCAGAGACAGAAAAAGAAAGGAGGTGGGGCAGAAAGAGGAGTAGAGAGGGGAGTGTAAATCAGGAGAAAGGTGAGTCGATGAGAAGAGGGGGTGGGAGTGTTGGAAAGGGGGATTGGAGGAGAGATGGATGAAGGCAATAAACAAGGCGCAGTCTCTATTTCTGTCTCTCCAGGCATTTATCTTTAGGTCTGTCTGGGCATAAATGTGTGAGAAGAGAAAACAAGGGACCTGACATTATAAGCCATTTCAAACAGGCACAGATAGAGGCAACAACATGTAAACCAGATCCTGTAAGGACAGGTTCACACCTAAAGGTTCGGCTCCTGAATCGAACCAATGCGAGGATGATACATTATTTAAAATTTCCAACTGTTGAGTTCAGTAAACAAAAGCCATGTGGTGGAAATGTTGTTTGATTATTGATCATACAGTCAGTGGGCAAAGGAAGACAACAAACACCTTCAATATCCCTGAATATCTTTCATCATGGAGCACCGTCAGGTTCATGGTGTTTGTCTGGAGCACCAACTTATTCTTGCATGGTCAAGACCCGTTGGTATCAGTTTGTAACGCACTGGGGATCCCCATAGTGTCATATTTCAACGCAGTGGGGGAAGCCCTGTAGCACCACTCTGTAAACATTTCATACCACCTCTTCTCAATCTCCTCCTCTACATTACAACCCCCTATCCGTATCCACGTCCTCCTCCAATTCAGTTTCACTCTCTTCGTCTCTCTTTAGACAATCCCACCCTCCTCCTGTCTTTTTCATTCTGCATGTTCACGTCTTTGTGTTCAGCCTCTCCATGTATCGCAATTTTCTTTCTCTTTTGCTTTTTCAATAGTACTCTTAATACTCCTTTCCTCTCACGTAACCAACTGTTTTTTTTATTCTTAACATTCTCTTCTCAAGGAACTGAGAATTAGAGCATTCTCTAATGTTGTGTATGATAATCTTTTCACTCTTGTAATCTTTAATCCCTCCTCTTCATTTTCCTTTTCAATTCCTTTCAATTGCATCTCACTATATAGACTTCTTCCCTCCTTTCTCCCCTTCATGGTACTTTTTTGTGACATCCACAGTCACCTCTTTCTCTTAAAAGTTTGACACTTCTATCTCCTTTTCTGTTTTACCACTCAGTGCCTGCATGTATGTTTTCCAGTCTTGCCCATTTTTCCATTATGTCCTTTCATCCTTCAATCTCCACTTCACCTTCCTCCCTCGTACTGATTTATGTTTATTGTGATAACACAACAATGGTACAGCTCTTCAATTTTGTGGGGCTTGTTAAAGTTTAACCTTAAAGAACCCTAACCTTTATCTATTTCTCAACCATTTCCTCCTCCTGAGTATTTCACATCCATCATTGTCCTCCTTGCCCCCTTTTTATTCTTGACATTCTTACCTCCTTCCTCCTTCTCTCATCTTCACTCACACCAGCTTTCTATTATTCAGCAGTCATAAAACTACTAAATGGAGTTGTGAGAGGCCCTACACCAATAACCAATAACCTTTTCTGTCATAGCTTTCCTCCCTTCGCATATTTTCTCTCCTCTTCTTTCACTACATATGTTTCTGATTGGCTGACAGTGACAGGAGTGAAGATGTAGGACTAACAGAGAGGGTAAGAAAGCAAACAGGAAATGCAGAGCATATGGATGGAGGGAGAGGTCATGACCTTCTTCCTCTCTCCTGTTAAATCTCATCTTCTCTCTGAGTTTTTTGGAGTTTGCTAGAAAATGAGACTGAGCCCATTTCAGAGCAAAAAGAGATAGTAAAAGTGTATCATACTGTTAGTCTACCATGTGTACTTTGCAGGTCCGCTGTATCGGCATCTGAGCCTATTAAGTTGACGGGTATCCACAAAATGTCATTGATCCACATTAAATACAGCTCTTATGTACTATTGTTAGCAGTAAGTCAACATGTATAAAGCTACTGCTAAATATTCGCCATTACCTGCATGTCTCACAAGAAATATGTTTATATGAAGGCAGTGGCAGATCTTTACTGTGAAACCTGAAGTGTTCACACTGACCATTGTGCTAACAGTATCAGTAATTTACACCAAATTGTTTTTCTAATGGTAGATAGACATTATCTGCCTGTCTGTTTTTTGGGGTGGTTATGTTGAATCTTTATGGGTGTGATACATTACATTACATGATTAACAAAGCTTGATGAAGGGGAACAAACGAATAAACGAGGACTGATGTTACAATACAAGACTCTGGGGTCTATTTCGTCTGAGTAGCGTTAGCAAGCCTGATAAGTACTGACATACATGAATGAGAATTATTCCTCTACAGTGGCAGAAAAAACAACATATGTATTATGTATATATACTTAAAAATTAACTGGAGCTAAAAAAAAAACACTACTAGATGAGCTACACTGTTTGGCAGGTCTTTTTACATTTCTGTACACTACAGCTTAAACAAGCAAGATATAACATGTCAATTACTGAGCTTTTGAGGTCTTGGTTTCCAGTTCTTATGCTAAGCTAAGCTAACTGGCTGCTATTTTTCCTATAGACATGAAAGTATTGATATTCTCATCTGACTCTCAAGCAAGCAAAATAGATTTTAAAATTTCAAACTATTCCTTTAATGTACGAGTGGTCCAGTTGGGGCCAGCTGAGCAGCAGAAAGCACATTTTACTGGTGACTGAGCAGGTAGATCAGAGATTTTACTGGGGAAGGATACAATGAAGACGGTAAAAGCAGAAGTTTACGACCATGATTGAACCGTTGAGTGTCTCACAGATGTGTATAGTTGATATGTGTTTTTGAGTGTGTGTGTGTTTGAGTGAATAACTGGTTATGTCCAGGCTCCATATGGTAACCATAGCTGGTCCATCTCATTGCTGCCACAACACACGTTTAGAGAAAGTCAAATGACAGCTGTATTTTCTTTGTGGGTCTAATTGTTTCCTAGTGACCACTTACCTTGTCACGTTATGAAGGGGCAGCACGAGGAACACCACCCACATCCACGCTCTTAAAAAAACAGACACTGAAATAGGTGCACATATCCACACACACACACACACACACACACACACACACTGTTTTTTGTCTTGTTCAGTGTAGCTTTCTCTCTGTAATCTTTGACATGCACACAAACACATCCACACATCCACAAAGAAACGATAAAGATGAAGAGTTGGGGTGAGCAGAGGCCTTGTATACAAAAATGTCCATTTAGTGTATTCCTTATTTAAACAAAGTGGATGTTGAACTTTCACTCTTTCCTATCTTGGTGTTCCGGTTTATTACTACAGATGAGTTCATCCCCTCTGTTGGAGACAGACAGCTTTTAGGAGGAAGCAGCATGCACCCACACCCACCCACACACACACACACACACACACACACACACACACACACACAAACCCACAGTTGTTGAGTACCTTCCTGTGTGGGGTGGTGTGCTGTGTCATAGCCATGGGGAAACTGTGAGCTCCTTTTAGCTGCGTCTTCTCCCAAAGAGAAGCAAGTCTTTGGACACACTCGTCCCTGGAGCAGAGAGGAACACTGGACTTACTCTGGACAAAAGAGAAAAAAAAGACCAAAAGCAGATATATGGTTTGGATAGAGACAGAGGAAAAGTATGGGGAAAAGTAAGGGTTTGGAAAAAAAAGCTACAAAATAAGACATGGAGGATTTCAGAATAAACATTTACTTTGATGCTTATACTTATACTGGGTTTTACTGCTAAATGGAAAGACGACAAGGTTTTCAAAAGGGCATTACATTATTTCTGCTCTGCACTCTAATACAACTTCAGAAAGCAAAACAATACACTTTGGTTCAGACTCAAATTTCTCACTAACATTAGCATTTAGCTTAAATCAATAGTACAGTCAACCTCACAGAGCTGCTAGCAAGGCTGTAGACTATTAGTCTTTGCTCTATGCTTTATATTATGGAGTACTTTAATGCTTCAAGGCGATGAGTTTGATTGTTCTGGATAAATACTTTTAGATACAGTGACATGCTATATGCATTACAGCAGTATGTTCGAGTATTCTCTGCACCTGTAGATGTAGCAGCATGATGTGTATCCAAAGATGAGGCTGTCGGCTGGTCAGGTTGAAACAGGACTTGGCGTACAGACAGTAGTGGCCCTTAAGAGGACAGGAGAACGACAGCTTGGCCACACATCCTCGATTTGAATCTGTCACACAAACGCAGACACACAAATGCAAACGGATAAAAATGTCACAATCGTTCACATTTAGCAGATGCTGAAAAGTTCCACAGCTTAAATTGAAATTCCCAAGATGAACCAGAGACAGTTAGCTCTCTTTCTCTGTGTGTTTCTCTCTGTTTCTTGCACATATGGACTTGGGTAACCTTGGGAACATATTTACAGAGTGATTCATAGCTTGCAAGGACGCTGTGTCTTGTAACCATCAGAAAATGACTTCTCTTCCCACCGCTGCCTCCCACGAACTTCCACATCTCAGCCAAAGAGTAGAAAACCAGTGAAGGAAATCATCTGGTACGTCAGAATGGTGATCAAAATAAAATAATGAACGTTTCTTTGTGATGTGCTTCATTTTAGTATTTTATTTTTATTTCATGCCATGCAACGTAAAATAATAAGGATCTTCTTTTAGCTGTATTGTAAACATGTAAAATCATTTTTAACTGGTAAAAGATGTTTAGGATTTCTTCTGTCTTTTATTGCAATAATTATACATTTTTGGTAATAATTTTATGAGAGGTTAGATGTTAGATGAGATGACTGATACCACTCAAAGCGAAGAAGGTGGATAGTATGCACATCCAACCCTAGTTGGGTATGGAGCAGCTGAATCAGTTGACTGAGTTCTGAGTACAACTGATTTTAAGATTTTAATTGCATGGCACAAAATCCCCCGTAAAACAGCAGACTGTTGTATGTGCTGGTAGGCAGTGACTTTTGTGAAGAGCCTCTGTTTCCATTCTTTTTGCAAAGCTTAGCTAACTTGCTGCTGGCTGTAGCTTATATTTAAAGACATGAGAGTGGTAACGATGCCAGAAAGTGAATAAGTGCATTTCCCAAAATGGTTTAAGGAATCAAACTATTCCCCTTAACCTGACACTCATTTTCTACTTAGACAATTGTAAAAACTCTAATGCGGATATCTGCTAAAAATATTAATGACAAAGTGAAACTATCTATTTATGATCAAACTCAACTCTCTTAACTCTTAATTAGTTACTCTGCAAAACCTTGTGTGTCAGACAACGCTTCTGGTTCCATACCGCGAGTAAACATGGAAGATGCAACACACTGTACAGAGCTTAGGTTACATCAGTTCATATGTGTGTAAAAATAAGAAACTATGAAAGAGAAATGTGTGTGTGTGTGCGTGTGCGTTCTTCTGCGTAATCCTCATCCCCTCGAGACAGAGGGACTGCAGCAGATGTTTAGGTCAGCCAGCAGCACGATGACATCATCCAGCTGAGACCACCTGTGACATCATCTCCTAAGTGCCTTGGGAGTTGATTCTCATTAAGAGACTTAATACTAAGAGAGCAAATGCAAGGCATCAATTATGGTGTTAGGAAGACGTGTGTATCTATGTGTGTGTGCATGTTTAACAACTGTATATTTAGATTCATTTTTAAATTGAATCAATTAACCAGAGTCCAAAGGAGGAGTTTGTTATTTTTTGTCTTGTTTCCTGTTTTAATTGTGTGCATACGTGTGTGTGTTTGTGCGTCTGTGTTTGTGTGACTCCTGGCTGCCTCCTACTTAAAATGACATTAAGCCCAAGGGCGGAGCAATAACATCCCCTCCTGTCAATCAAAATATCATCACGTCTCGTATCGTGTTTGAGTCTGGTGATGTGTGTGTGTATGTGTGTGTGTGTTTAAAAGAATGAAGCCGTGTCCCCATAGGTGGGGTTCACTGCTGCAGATGGCTCAGACAAAGAAATACAGTATTGCACTGTCCAAATGCACATGTATGAAAGTAAGTGTGAACTGATGTGTTTAATGTGTTCATATGAATGTCTGCAGGCGGGCAAGGCTCAACATGTTTTATGTCTATCTTGTAAAATATGTGTATCTGTCTCCATGCAATTCATATTTATTTTCAAATGCATTTCAGAATATTATGTTTCTGTTGGTAGCATTATATCACATCAAGCAAAGATTTATCATTTTGGAACAGGGTGGGGTGAAGTAAAAACAAGTGTGATTCATTAGATAAAGGGGGATGACAGTTAAAAGATGGCAATTAAGTCTTAATTCAAGTGATGCAGATTGGATAGAAATATGAAAAAATAAGCAGAAATCATACGACATGAACGAAAATAAAACAATCAAATCCATGAATATGAGAAGAATGAGCGGGGAAATGTGAAAGTGGATTACAGCGTTTTAGAAAATGGATTAGATTAGTTTGGAGACATACGAGGTTTCTCATTTCATTGTTTTTTTTTCACATTTTGAACTCCATGACCCAAAAAGGTTTCTAGTCAGCATGCACTGCTAGAACTACATTACGAAAGCATGCACACACACAAAACTGCATCCATATATAAGCTACATGTACTTCATGCATACTACATATGTATGCATAACATTCATCATCTGTTTCTACTTAAACCTCACTGTGTTATATAGATGTAACTGAATATAATGACCCTGCCCACATCAAAACAATTCTCTGCCTTTATACCTCAATACATTCGTCCATTAACAAATTAGCTTCATGACATTTAGACTTGTACCCCATTTAATTTGGCTCATAGTTTTTAACATTACAGTCCATTACTTCACTCCAGATTAAGGGCAAGTAAAAGTTCACAGGAGTCTGCAGCTGAATAAAAGGACAGGCCTAGGAATAATCCCTACTTCCTTTTTGTCAAATAAATCCCATGAAAAGACCAAAACCAACAATAAATTGATCAGACTAAGATGTATTTCCTGTGTAGCCAAAGATGATGTAGCTTTTTCCTCTGTGCCATAGACCTCCATTTTTGTCAAAACCCATCACTGAGCCACACATTTGTACTGGGTGACTTTATTACCGCCATCCTGCTGATGGAAATTGTCACTAAAGCATTAAATCTGAAGCTGAAGGTTTACAGTACATCTGTTTGAGTAATGTTTGCTAAAATCCCCAGTGCCCAACTGTGCCTAAGGAAATCATTTTTTAAACTGGCAGTAATATTATATTCTTCAGTGGGAACAAAACGGTTACAGACTGAAAAATGGGGCAAGGAAATCAGAAAGTTTTCTTGTTTGTTTTTGTTGAAAATACAGAATATCACGAGCCCCTTTTCCTTTAAGGCTGGTTTGCTGCTATTAGACAAAAGTCTATCAAACATTTTTCATGTTGATAGAACATGTTGGAAACAACAACAGAAGATGATACAATGTGGAATCTGAATTGCAAAGATTAGATTTCAACCAAAATGCAAAATGTTCTTTGCATGGTGGGTTGTATATAGTGTAAATCCATGGATGAGGTCAATGGGTAAAAAATATTGTGGTCCTCAGTAACTAAACTGCTGTTGTTCTAGACAGAATTGCGGCCACTGCCTAATTGTACAAGTTCATGACAAAGATGGAAACTGGAAACAGCTCTTATCACACAAAAGGTGAGAAATACAATTTCCAATATAATGTGTCTTTCCAGACAAGATAAAAATTATAAGAGCACAATGATATGCATTCATGACTGTAACTAATATGGTGGTAGAAAGAGAATAATCACATTCTGCCCTCTGGACAGGATTAAAATCACTGATCACCATGTGCAATATTAAGGTGAAAGTATTCCCACTGGAGAAAAAAATCCCTGTCTGATTGGGGCTCAAGAGACACTAACCAACCTGCTACTGACTACTGTGCAAATCTGCATCTGTATGTGTGTGTTTGTATTTGAGATGAAGAGGGAAAGTGGGAAGGAGAGAGGGGGAAGAGGAGGTATGTTCATACCACATCATTAATCAACTCCAGGCACCATGTCTGACTGTAATCTCACTCAGGTTCAGCAGGTTACACAAACCCTCCCTTTTCCTCTCTCTGTGAACCCTTTTATTATCCTTCTACTGCATAAACTAATAACACTGTCATGAAATTATTTCTAGTGCTGATCTCAAAGAAAACATGCACTGACAAAGCCGTTTCGTCGTGTCCGCATTACCTTCGATCACACACTGCTCTGGTGTGGGGATCTGCTGCACCATGTCTTTACAGAACTCTCTGATCATCTCCATATTGTCTCTTAAATGGATGAAGAGTCTGTCAGCTTCGCCATCCTGCTCCTCTCCATCCTTCTCTCTGCGTTGACCTTTCTCAGCCTCTTTGACCCCTCTGTCCAGGGAAGCAGTGACGGGCATCGAGCCGTCACCCGTCACTTTTCTGTCAGCCGGCGGTGCTTCCTGGTTTACTGAGTGCGAATTCATCAGTGTGTTGGAGAAGATGTTGTCTGGGCTTTGCTCCAACCCCTCACCGTCCTCCCCGGTGTCTGAGTTGATGGAGCGCGAGCGCACAGCGTGGAGGGCCAGGCTCTTTGACCTAAGACACACCATGAAATAAAAACAGTCAAAGTGCTGCAAAATTTTAGATTTTAACAATTAAAACTGTGTGCGTCCTGCTTTTGACATTGTTGACATTGAATGAGAACATAAAACAGCAAAATGTCAGACTTTCAGTGCATGGCAGGAGTATTGTGGACACAAGCATGATTTTAATAAAGATACTAATCTTTTGTGTCAGCCTTTGGTTGAATATCTTTTCTGTTGTAAGAAAACTGCTGTTAAACTAAATAAAACCAACTTTAGGTAAGCTATTAATTATGTTAAAAGGATTCTGCACTCCAATTCCAAACTCAAAACATAACCTTCAAGGATGTGTAGAAGTCCTACAGAAGGACTCATTGACCTTTTAGTACACAGTCTCCATATTTTAGGACAATGAAGCATGACAGTGATCCTAAACACACAGACAAGCCTACCAAATGACCAGTCACTTGACCTCAATAACAATAAGGACCCGGGTATGCTCAGTCATATCTAGTTTGCACAACATGTTGTCCGACCACATCCAAAATCCAAAAAGTGTTTACAGTTATTCCAAACAGCCATACTCAGAGGCGGGGTAAAGAGCCGGCCACCATAGAGAGGGTGAGATGTACATTTTCTGCACATTGTCAGACTCTCCTGGAAGACATTCATAGCCCGGCAACAGTTGTTCACATGTTCATGTGTCAAGAATGAGAAAAGACCAATTGCGTCACGAAGTGGGTGGGAAAGGTCGAAGTGTCAGTCACCCCCCCGTCTATGAGTCATTCCCTGCTAAGGGTTTGTATAAAAGAAACTATAACATATGGCTTTGAAGTTTATCATTTTTTCCCCCCCTCAAAAATGGGAAACTATGTATAAAAACATTTTATACACCATTCATCTGATATGGGTGTAACATTCAAATCAAAGCTGAAAGCAGAACTTTGACTCTTTGTAAATATTTCATTTAAAATCTAATGTGTTGGGCTACAGAGCAAACACAACAAAAACCGCATTATTATCTCAACATGTATCTCAACTACAACAACAATGTAAATATATCAGGGTTGGGCTTGTTGTGTGTAAGTTGTGTATTCTCAGCATATGAGCTTTTTTTAACAGTTCGCTATGTTTGCAATGTCTTCTTGGTTCCATTTGACTGCAAATCAATAAAATCCACCAGGCCGCACAGTGACAGTGATAACAGTCTATTCTTCATAAAAAGACATTCTTTTTATATCCAGTCAGAACTGAGCAAATACGCAGCAGAGCCATGCAACCTTACACACTAACTGACCTGTTGAATCTCATCTCTCGCCTCTCCTCCCTGACAGCTTGGCTCAGGCTGTAGCGACGCTGGGGGGCAGGAGAGTCTTCCTCCACCTCCTCCTCTCCCCCCTCCTCCCCCATTTTCTCCTCGAAGGCCTGGATCTTCACCTGCAGCCGCTGCTCTGACCCATCTCCTCCACCTCCTCCTTCACCAGGAAGAGATGCACAGGGAGACGGAGGGCACGTCTCGTCCACTCTGTAAAACACACACAGACACAGGGCAACGTGTTGTATTGCAGGTGGTGGGCACGTGAGATGAAGCTGGACAGACACATTTGGATAGATTTCAGTAACCTCTCTCCCTCCACCCCTCCCCCTTCTGGCAAGCTTTCCTGTAATTCTCGCTTTCTCATGATGACCGGCTCTATTTCTGTGTCTCTCACCACATGTGTCCCCTTCTCTCCCTCTTTTGCTGGCTACATCTCACCTTCTCCCCTCTTTCTTTGGCTTTGTTCTTCTTTGTGCCCCACTATGGTGCCTGTCTGCTCTATTTTGCTCTCTAATCAAACTAATTATTCCCTTCTTCACTCCATCTCTCTTTCTTTCTTTCCTAATTTCTTTTTCCCCAAGCGGCCTTTATAACTTCATTAAACAGCCCACTTGTTTGCTGAAAGAGGACTTCCAAATGGCCCGTTGTTGTTTTTTTTCTGTCTTCACCCCCTGCTCTTTCACTAATAAACCACCCTGCCTCTCTAAATCCCTCGTTCCCCTACCAGAAGACCCCAAGCAAAGCCTTTGGAAGCCTCCAATCCTGCACACAATGTTCTTTTTTTCGGAGGAAGCTGTGCGTGCCATTCCCACACTGCAGCCACATGAATACCAGTCAATTTATGCACATTAACACTCATACATGCACATCCTATCACCCTCACATGCAGCATTCTGCATTTTGAAGCATTTTTCACGACTCCCATTTAATGTAAATAAAGCAATTATAAGAAGTCAATGGGGAACAGGACTGGATATAAAGATTAATAAAAATAGTATGTTGTTACACCTAAAAAAACAAACCCAATTTATTGAGGTTTTAGTACCAAAAAATCTGTTGAATGTGTGAGCTCAATATATCCATTCTCTTGCCTTATAAACCAGTATAAAAGCTGTTGAATCAGAAATAAAAAGATTTCATTATCAATTCTTGCTACTCAATCTAGTACTTTATTGACGGTCATTTATCAACAAACCTAAAGCCCACAAAATCTTTAAAATTCTGAGTATTTCTGTATAACATCCTTAGGTCTGTTATACAATCCAATATTGTTCAATCCTGTATGGTGAAGTCATCACCTTTTTCCAACTTAAAACCAGTGAAAAGACCACAGGCAAAGTCACAAATTAATAAGAAGCTGTTTAAGAAAATAGGTTTTCTTTTTATATTTTATAGCGGATTGAGCAAAAACACATCTGTATTACTTGAAGGAGCATCACAGCTCATCCAAGCACCAATAAAAATATGAGCAAAAACATTTGCCTACGTTGATAATGCATAGGGGGTTTCTGGAGCTACTTATAGTTCTTTCCTCAAGGATGTCACAACTATTAACAAATATTCAACAAATCCCTGTGAATTCAGCGCGACTTACAATTTTGACCAATCACTGCAACTTTTCCACAAATTTGACCTATCAACACCGTTTCCCGCAAAAAGCAGACATGTGTGATACCAAAGTCTCACATCTGCCTACAAAACATAACAGCAAAGGGCCGTACAAACAGTATCCAGATCTTCTTTACCAAAGCGTTGGTCAACTGCTTTGCAAAACGTGCTGTATTGTGGTCAAACACAAAAAGGAAACTGTATTGACAAACACTTTGCCACTGCAAAACATACGTGGAGAATAGCAGAAATGCATGGAGGACATCAGACGAGACAAATCACTGTGACACAGGCTGCATGGTTAGGGTTCAGGTAAGGGCCGCAAAATCCTGGAGGGACTGTTTAATGATTTAACTCTAAAGTTAAAAATATCACATCTACCATTGCAGCTTTTACTTATTCTCACAATTTCATAACAAAAAAACGCCCCAAAACACCGCAACTTTCATCACAATGTTTTTAGAAAAGCTGCCACAAAATCAACCACTTTAATCCTAGAAGGACTGATTAGTTAGTTTGTTGTTCAATTCTGTATTCTTAAATTCACAGAACACTTCAACATTTTGGGAATGCCGCTTAGTCGCATTATTGACAGGAATTTGATGACAAAATGAATACCGGTCTCATGTGTATGTTGCATTTGGGGCAAAATGGCTGAAGATGCAGCCCGTCAGTTTCCTGTACAGGTATCTCTCCTGACCTGCAGTGTGTGGCCGTGTTCTCCTCCAGTCTTCTCCCCAGCAGTCTGGCTATAGCAGCGAAGGAGTTGCTCATTCTGTATATGTCTTTACTGCAGCCTCCCAGTAAGGACGGGTAACGGTCGGTCAGAGCTCTGATCTCCAGCAGCAGTGTGTGGTGAAAGCTGTGCTCCATGCTGCCCAGAAGAGACACCAGGTAGACCAACGAGCTGTGAGCATGAGTCTGGAAAGAGAGAGAGGAGGATGATAATATCTGGGGCTGTGATCCAAGCTGAACATTCTGAACTAATCAGAGAAATATTAAAATAAATAGAGAAAGAATAAGATTGTGAACAAGTTGTTTTATTACAAAAGTTTAATGGTTATTTCTAATGTTATGTGTTGTTTACATTTACTCATTTGGCAGACGCTTTTATCCAAAGTGACTAACATTTGAGGAACAACATAAAAGCATCAATAAAATAAGAGATCTACAAGTGACAATATATTCTAGTAAGAGCAGCAATAACTAGTAGTACGAGCTATTGGCGAATAAGTCATCATATCGGTAAATACCTAGGGGAAGAAGTAAGAGTAAACTGAATAGTGCAATCAATACAAGAGAATTGTAAGAAAAAGAAAAGCACAGGAAGTGCATGTTAGAGGTTAGGCATTAGAGGAAGTGTTCTCAGAAGAGATGAGTTTTCAAGAGCTTCTTGAAGTTAGAGAGGGACGCCCCTGCTCTGACAGCATGTGGTAGCTCGTTCCACCATCGTGGTGTCACAGATGTAGGGAGGGAAGAGCCAGACGGCATTCGTTGGAAGAGCAAAAGGGAACATAAGCGTGTATTACGGAGTTTCAGTAGATGGGTGCAGAACCAGTAGTCACTCTGTATGGTAGTATTAGTGACTTAAATTTGATTTGGGAGGCCACGGGGAGCCAGGAGAGGTCGCTGAGTAATGGAGTGATATGAGTCCTTTTGGGCTGATCACACATGGCGCTCTGTTCTAAACCATGTGCAGTGGTTTCACCGCACAAGGAGGGCATCACAATAGTTGAAGTGAGAGATAACCATATCCTGTACCAGAAGCTGCATGGCGTACTGAGTAAGTGGGGCCTGATTTTTCTTATGTTGTATATAGCAAAGCGGCATGGCTAAGAGACATGGTGTGAGAAGGACAATTTCTCACCACCCTGGTAGGAGTGATGGTTGAGGAGCCAATTTTTTATTTGATGTTATGATGGATAGATTGCTTGGCTGGGCTGACCAAGTGTTCAATCTTAGAGAGGTTTAGTTGAACGTGGCAAGCCTTCATTCTTGCAGATTCAGGGTTTCTGAGTGTACTGAAAATCATACTGAAAATGGGACCAGTGTTGTGTTATAGGATGGCTTGAAAGTACTGTTTCACTAAATGTGTTTTGGTGATTGTATCTAATTCAACACACATTAGTTTTACACTTCCAAGTTGTTTGGGGGGGGGTTGGTGTAACTTCTTTTGTTTCTAAATCACGCCAAACAATAATAAATACAAACACATGCAGTTGGCTCTCAGCAAACTTAGAAAAATGTAAACTTCTTTTCCCAATAGACATTACTTTTTCCGTCTGCCGTTGTAACAACACACTTACACACACACATTTCATCATTCTCAGCCTGCTTTTTGTCTCAACTGTATCCAGAATATATACAACCAACTTGTATTCTCAATGGAGGGTTCATACCTCTCTTTTTTATATAGATTCTTGTAATGTGCAAAATCATAAACAATAAAGCCCTTTAAATGCAACAGGTACTTTATCACTATTTAAAGCAAGGTTATAGCCATAAGGTGACATGATTAAATAACAGCTCTCTTACTGTGTTTTAAGGCAGAACCAAAGCCAACAAGACCTCTCTAGACAAAAACAGGATTTTCTTTAAAAATGAAGTCGCTGCACTTGTAAAAACTCACAGTACTTGGACTGAAAACTGAAAAAATAAGGACTAAGGACCTCCCTCTACTCCTCTGACTGAGAGACGACTGATTGATAGAGGGACAGAAAGCCAGACAGAGCCAACAGAGCTTAAGTACACCTTGTAACGAGGAGAGAAGAATGCAGTTACAGCACAGTCTGGGCATGTTTCACAAGCACTCACTGTAGGATGCTAAATATGTGGGGATGCTAAAACTACTTATTGTCAAGATGATTTTACTTTTGAAGGACTCGCTACAATACTTTCAATCATTACAGTATGAGCAGAACATGCATCATTTACTGTTTGTAAGTGAGACATTTTACAGTAACACTATTTGCCAGCTCATATGAAGCCCTCCTTCAACATCAAATATTACAGATTGTGTTTAATTGTGTGGAAAAAGCACTTGGCCCTGATTTAATGTCCTAAATACATCAGTGGTTTAACTCATAACCAAATTGTGTAAAACCCTGAAAAAGAGGACAATAACAGGAAGTAAAAAACAAAGAAAAATTGAAGACAAAAAAGACCAAGAACTGTTGTATTTAATTATAACGTCCCATGTTCTCCAAGAAATTATGGCAGAGTAACAGATGTTTTTCCAAAGGACAGATGCGGATCTGGAGAAAGAAATCAGTTCTTTCTGGTTCATGTGAACAAACAGACACACACACACAAACACATCCTCTGTGAAAGACACAACTTGGCCCATTCGTTTCCATCACTCCTTATCATAATTCCAACAACACTGGGAGCCATTCTCCTCTGGCAGTAGCACATGTGTTTGTGTGCAAGAGATATCTGTTCAGAAAACTTCACTTAAACATTGAATGATTCATAGTTTACAAAAACAGAAAAGAAAACACTGCATTGCTCCAGCAGCAAGCCAGATCCTTTTCCGTGCTCACTAACCTGTAATTTATTTTTTTCTTTCTTTCCTCATTTGCTTGTTTGCTTAGTTTCCCCTGATTGTCCATCAGCCCACTGATCTCTCTGCTTTCTCTGGAGCTGCAGTCTGGCGCACAGCCACCAACCCTCTCTCTAACAAGCTCCATGGAGATACTGGTGTGTGCATAAATGTGTGCTTTCTTTCTCAAAGCACATTCATTATTTGTGACAACAAGAGTGTGTTAGCGTGAGTGTGTGTGTGTGTGTGTGTGTGTATATATATCAAAGGAGAGATGATTCAAACTTTGAAATCTGAAAATGTGTGTGAGGAATTACTGGAAAGTGATCAATTGCATGAAAGTGATATCCCCTCAGTACAAAAACACTTCCCTATTCAAAACATAACAATTACTTGACTGATTTAATACAACCTGTTAACAGGAAATAGACGAGCAAACCTCCTCCAATAATAAATCTAAGCCTGCCACTTATTTCAGTCAATTCAACACTGTTAATAAATGTTTTTTTCCCTGGAGTTTTGATCAGTGTCTTTACACTTGCTAAATCACCCATATGGACTACAGGTCATGTTCTGTCTCTATGCCTATGCCTCTATGTCGTTCCTAACCTTTTTGGCTCGTGAAGCTTTAAAACAAAGTTAACTTGTGCCCCCTTGTAGAAGGTTTTATATTTTTATGAGCTATGAGCAAAGAGTTATTTTTACCTTCTCAAAGTTTTATAGGCCTGAAGAGGTAAAACTATCCAGTATCTCACAAAAACAGCAAAAAGACATGGCTGGGTTAAAAACAACATTGTTTTTGTTTAATCTTTCATAACATATAGGACACTTAATCGTGTAGATCTATCTTGTCTTCACCTTGGGTACCACAGCTCCATTTTTTAAAAAGTAAATAAAACTATTTGTTTATTTGTTAACATTTCTTTATGCCAACATGAGGATGTTACACAATATTAGCAGCTTTAAAACAGTCCAGCCTCGTAACCTTCATTTTGACTGGTAAAATGATTGTTGTTTTATGGAAACTATGATTTGAACTGAGTGACCAGTAAAACAGCAACACCTGTATGATGCAGTCTAACTTTAACAGTTTGGATAATACTTAAATGGTTTCACTGTTGACTCAGTTGTTCACTTTGCATACTGGGTCAGACATTTCAGATGTTGTGTCCACCTAATTAAAAAAGAGGAGCAAAAAAACCAAGAACGATTACTGCAGTACTATGCAAGCTCGCCACAAACTGCAGCCTTAAAAATTCAATCAACACTTTTCCGAAATACCAGTAACACCATATAAAAATTATCTCAGTTTCTGAAAACTAAGATTTACTACAGGACTGCTGGGCTAGACAGCATTACAATGTACAGGGTTACTTTTTCTCAGTGTATGAACATAATGATATATACTGATTTAACACACAATAAGTCTAGAAACAACATATAGACTGGCTTCAGTAGGCAAAGGAATCCAGAGGGAGTGTTGTGCAATCACATCAAATACAAATGCCCCCCAGTGAGAAAGTGAGTGTTTGTGCGTGTGTGTGTGTGTGTGTGTGTGCGCGCGTGCAGGGCACAAACACAAACCCACAGGGGGTACTCTCCACTGCCATCACCAGGAGGGCTCCGTGGAGGCATTTCCCAGAAAAACATGGCTTATTTTCCAAATGGTTCCAATGTGAAGAAAGAGAGGACACTAAGGTCTGACCGACTGTGTGCATGTGTGTTTGCGCTGAAGCTGGTTTGGCAGGTTCTTCGACGTGAAGAATGAGGAGGAAGGGACCTTTTAGACGACGTTTGCCCGGGAGTAATAGAAAACTTAATTATGGTTTCCAGCTCCACAATCTGTTTGTGTGTGTGTGTGTGTCCTTGTCTATCTGTGTCTGTGTGTGTGGAGGGGCACGCACCATCCAAAGAAAGTCATGTGAAACTTCCCCCTCTCTTTAATTTGCACAAATGTTCCTCAAAGTGTCTTAAGAGAGACGTGGGAGCTTTCACCCTGTCCTGCTGTCACCTTCATCACTCTGCACACACACATTACAGACTTGTACAGACTGTAACGTATAACTTCATTGCACAATGTTGCGTGGACATTCATGTATTACTAACTACATCAGCACAACAAGGTGACACAATTATCTCATGCGCTATATGTTGACCTGAGCACTCTGTACAATCCATGACTCGGTCACACAGCCTTCTCAGCGCAAACCTTATGGGACAAATACAAGCCTTATTTTTTACCTGTTTAATGGCAGCGGCTTGCTTCCAATGTATTTTCTAGGTGACATGGATCAGAACACTTTTGCCTGGTGCAAAACCAAACGTTTAAATCCAGCATTAAGTCAATACTCCATTTTGGCACTGCAGTGCTTTGAGCTAAAAGCTAACACATGCTATCATCCTCACAATAACAATGCCAACATGCTGATGTTCAGCAGGTATAATGTTTACTATTTTATTTAAGCATGTTAGCATACTGCTAATATGTGCTAAATAGCACTAAAATACAGCTAAACTGTACTACTAAAGTACAACTTAGCCTGATGGGAAGTTCATTAGTTTTGCAGGTATTTAGTCATAAAAGCTGACTGATAAAAAGTGAATCATTTAAATCAGGTGTGTTAAGCAGGGAGAGCTTTAAAACATGCGTGACATTCCACAAGAGGTTTGGGAAATAGGCTCTCCCTGAAACAAATTTTGATATTGTAAGTCTTCCAAAAATGTAGTTTCAGTATTAATATTTTGAGAAATGATGCAGCCAGCAAATACTTACAATACCAGACAGAAAGTTCTGTCACACAAGTGTAGCTCAGATGAGATTGTCCCTTTTGAACACATTTCCTCCTCTGTAATACAGCTGATATACTGTTTTCCCACATGTATAAAAAAGTACCCTTCTTGAGGTTAATGTTCTCTTAAATTGTGTTTTGCTTGCATCACTAGGTTATAGCTTACATGGCCGCTCCTTAACTGTTCCTTCAAATTATATTTTTTTTCTCCTGCACCAGGACAGCAGTTCATTGTGTTTCTTCAATCTATAGTAGAGAGACAGAACTCTCTAAGGAGTCTGCATGTGTTTGTTTAGGACAGACGCTGCAACTGAACACTGGTGTAGGTGTTAGACCTCCGGATAACCACCAGCCTGTCTGGTGTGTGAGTGTGTTTTATACTTGGAAGGACAACAGAGAACAAGTCATGTGAGAGTGCAGCCAATTCCTCCCTACTCATTAAAATAATCACTACTGCCTGTTTCTGTGTGTGTTTCATGTTTTCATATCCTGGTGGGGACTTGCACCTGAATGAACACTAACCGATGTGGACCCGTGCCACTGTGGGGACAAAAATTAAGGTCCAAATAGTAGAGACTGCTTTTTGAGGGTTAAGATGTGGTTTTAAGGTTTAAAGTAAGAGTTTAGGTTAGGCATGTAGTTGTGAACGTTAAGGTTAGGATAAGGGCCTGGGGAATCATTATGTCAAAGAGATGTCCCCACGGGGATAGAGGAACAAACTTGTATGTGTGTGTGTGTGTGTGTGTGTGTGTGTGTGTGTGTGTGTGTGTGTGTTTGTGTGTGTGAAAACCCACTGCCAAGCAGACTTCAGGTACATTCATAACATTATTCTCATGCCATTTCTACATGAATGCAGACTGTCTGACATTTGCTGCAGAGAGCTGACAACACACCACCTGTGTCTGCTTTTGTGTGACAGGGTCTGTCTATGAGTCTCAGAGTAAGACTGATTTCAAGGAACTCCACTTGATTGTTATCGACACCACTCTCATGTCTCAACACGTTCAGGATTATTAAATATACTACAGAGCAGAGTGGAGCTCTGCAGCAGCGACAGCAGGGAACACTTGCAGGGGCACATCAGAGAAGCCCATGCGGGCGGGGTACTCTTGTGGGGACAGGGCTTATAGCCTGCAATGTGGTAGTGAATTGTTGAAACGGAGTTATCGTCATCACTCGGGTTTGTTATACACTGAACAAAATTATGAACGTAACACTTTTGTTTTTGCCATTCATCATGTGTTTCTCTGAAACGCCTTTTGAGACGACTTATGGTAGAGAAATTAACATTCAATTCACGGGCAACAGCTCTGGTGGACATTCCTGCAGTCAGCATGCCAATTGCACGCTCCCTTAAAACTGGCGACATCTGTGGAATTGTGCTGTGTGATGGAACTGCACATTTTCAAGTGGCCTTTTATTGTGGCCAGCCTAAGGCACACCTGTGCAATACCCGTGCTGACTGATCAGCATCTTGATATGCCACACCTGTGAGGTGGATGGATTATCTCGGCAAAGGAGAAGTGCTCACTAACACAGATTTTGAAAGATTTGTGAACAATATTTGTGTACACAGAGAAAGTCTTAGATCTTTGAGTTCAGCTCATGATGAATGGGGGATAAACAAAAGTGTTTATAATTTTGTCCATTGAATATTAGAAACGGGTGAGTTGTATGCGTTGAATATTTAGCAGTCCCTCTGCCACTGTCATGTTGTTTCATTGTGTAATTAATGCTGTAGGTGAGGGGGTCGGCAAGTAAGTGTAAGTGCCTGGTTAGCCCAGTCATGCACAGGCCTTTCAATCGGAGAATTGTGTGTTCGGTCCCACCTTGTGTGAACATCTTTTTTTTCCCTCTTCAACAAATTAAATATGAAGAGACTGTTTCATATGCTCACAATAAAGCATGTGCTCCAGTGTGTGCGTCCCGGCAATTGGTCCACATCCATCACCCTGGACACTTATTTTCATTTCCCCAGCATCTCCAGGCAGAGGAAAGTCCTGCGCTCTCATTCAGGGGAATCCAATATCTCGTTTCCTGGCGGCTTTTTTTAAGAGGTGTCAACCAATCCACAGACTCTTATGAATGTCTTTCAGATCTTTTCAAAGTAAAAGCTCTCTATTCAACTCTAAATAAAGCAGTGCTGCAAAAAACTGTCTCACGCTTTTTTTTGTAGGCACAATCACTCAAGAGGAAGTGATTATGCGAGTAACTGTTGCTGTCAAGACTGAGATCCATTTCAGCACCAGCCGCTATCAAAGCATAATTTAAAAAGGACACTGTTATAGGGTTATTGCTTGGCTGGGATCATGGAGTCTCCAGTGGTTACTTGGTGAATTGTAGTGTTCATTAAAAATTTATCATTTTTAACCTGGGTGGATGTGTCAGTTTGCTAGAATTAACCCATGTCTATTCACATTCGTTCCTGTCTTTCCACTGACTAACTGCCTTTCAGTCTGAACATACCTAAAGTGCAACAGAAACACATGCTTCCATTTTCTGTATAAAATGAAAATTGCTGCTGCAAACAAATGTAAACCTTCATTTGTACCTCATTGATGATACCCACGGCACCATGGATTTTGGCCACGTGACCCAGGAAAGCAGGGCATTGTTGTCCCATGATCCTCAGCACCGGCAGAAAGCTGACCAGTGAGGAAGGGCTGGCCTGTGACACGTCCATGAGCGCGCCCAGTATGGCCTCAGTTAGGGATTGGTCTTCTAGGTAACTGATTAGTGCAGGCACCTGAGGGCTCAACATCTGTACAGGTAAGAACAAAACAAAGATGAAGAGGAAAGGAAGGTAAAGTATAATTTGTTATCTTTATTTATAGTGGTAATTCTGTCAACAGTCACTTTATAGCGATAATTCTGTCACTAACCAACAAACATCAGAGGTTTAATGTGTCTGTAATGAAGGCTGGAGGTGAGAGGAGTTACCTTGGAGCACGATGAACAGACTAAAAATACACAAAAGTTTGACTATAAGACTGTCTGGACAAACTGAGTGAATGAACAGTTCCTCCTAATTATCTGGACTGGTCACATTGGACCGCACAAGACTGGACTGGATCTGACTAACAATGCCCATCACTGCCAGCCCTCCTGCTGCTACTTTATGAGTGACTTGTTCAGAATAATCATATTAATATTAAACATTATATGGTCCTCAGGGAGAAGATGTTTGACCCCATATTAAATTTTTATTTTGTAATTTCAATATATTTTGTGTGACTGTGTTGGAGATAGAGATTAGAATAACTCCAGATGGCTGGTTTTGCCTCTCTGTGTGCTGGTATGTGGTACTTTCCCCTCAAGTTGAACAGCTCTGCTCCAAAATATGCAGGATTAAGGGAATTCCTACTGAGAAATGTGTACTCCACATTTCCCCACTTCTATCTACGTTCCAGTGGCTTTTTCGGAATTTCGACATAAGCTCATTACAGGATATGGCAAAGTTGAACGGTCAAAGGTCTGATTAAGCTTGAATCATAGGCAGAAATGTTACCAAAAAAAGCAACACACATACTTCATTGCAAGCAGCAGCCAAGTTAAATATAAACTTATGCCACAGGCTCAGAGACTCAGTTCTGATTTTGTTGGATAATGCTGTATTTTCAGATACCCCCATGGTTTGATGTATTGTAACTACTTCATCATTATTTCAAATAACAGTCAATAATAATAAGGCTGCTTGTTTTAGGTGTTACTAGGCCATGGTTTCTTGAAACAGTATTCCAAGGCAGACAAAGACATTGCCAACAAAAAGATTTAAACAAAATAACAAAATATAATTTATATTTAGATCACTGAGAAAATGACAGTGTTATAAAGTGGGATAAAATACCTTGGCCCATGTGGTTATAAAAACACAACACAGTTTCCGGCAGAACAGTAAATAGTTTGATTTACTCACAGTACGTGGTGCTTCATTTCTAACATAAAACTTCACAAACACTCACAAGTGGATGTTGCTCTGCAACCATTTGGATGAGTCTGATCAGGTGTAGTTGCTCTGGGGACTCCAGCTGTGACATCATGGCAGTGAGGCTGCCTATGTGACAGTGGATTGTATCTGGTTGTCTGGGGTAGACCGAGGGCAACACTCTTAACAGCATGTGGTTACCTGCCAGAGAGAAAGAGAGAGAGGCAGAGATGCTTTCAGTAAGCCACCACAGCCAAATTCAAAACTGTACAGCAACAAATCTTGAATACAAACTTGGCGACCACTGTATGGATATTGTAAAGCAGAAAACTTAGAAAGAGAAAAAAGATAATGTGCCCAGAGTGAACAGTGGACGAGGATACCATGAGTCCATTGTCATGTAAAATGCGCAGGACTGTTGTATCAGACTGCATTCGTTTCAGCTGGGTGTAACTAAAGTTTGGTTTCTCTCTGACTTTGTAAAAGATTGTACAATTGTCTGACTGCTTGTATGAAACCGGAATTTTCCTTTAAGCTCTTTGTGGTGTAGCTGTACTGTAACATCATGTATATTTACTGTAACTGTTATTTTCTTCAGAAAAAACACACGACCCCCAGTCATGATACAACATACATCTGTGATCAGAAAATAAAACTTTCTCCATTTGCTGTCAATGCTGTCAGTGCTGACGCATAACTGGACATAAAGGCATCTGTAGATCAGCATGCAGCCCAACAAAACCCACAGCATTACCCAACAGCCTTTGACTCACGTATGCAACATCTTTAAATGATTCACATCACTGAACAAAGACTCTTGTTTTCAAATGGTAGGTTATTATTGGTGACATTTCAAGATTACAAACAATGGCTTTTGTGTCCTGCAGTGAACCAAATGCAAGACAACAATGGATATTGTAAATGTAATGTTTGTCTACAGTAACATTTTGAAGTTTATTGTAAAAATTGTGTAGAATAAAGGCTTATGTCACAGATTCTGTCAGATTTAAACCATGGACAAAATTATGTGCGGAACACTGAGTGCTTACATGATCTGACAAGGACAGTAAGATGGAAGAAGAGATGAATGTTTAATAAGAAGTATTGACTGGAGGATTGTTAATCAGATTTTGTCAATGCTAAAACACGAACACAGTAACAAGAAGAGCTCTACTGAACCCAAAAGGCAAAGTAGGGATTTCTGACATAACTTTACCTGCTGTAATCTGTCATGATTAAATTCAGTTAGATAAACTTGATCTATTCTGCAAGAGGAAACAGAAACAGATTATGGAAGAATAAGTGGGTATCTTGCTACATGCCAAATTTGACCAAATCTGTTAGCAAGCTCATCATTATTATTTTTTAATCCTGTTTTTATTTTCTATTTCACCAAAATTATATTTTAATGTGTATTTTTGTTGCTTTTATGTTTAATGTAAAGCACTTTGAATTGCCTTGTTGTTGAAATGTGCTATACAAATAAACTTGCCTTGCCTTTTGGTTACTATGTTTTTAATTTCCATTTTATTACACTTGTTTATTCATGCCAAATAAATCAATAGTGTATCAACAAGAAATGAAACATGCTGATGTTTAGCAGATATATTGTCTACTGTGTTTACCCTCTCAGTTTAACATTTAGCTTGTTAACGATTTGCCAATTCGCTAATTAGTGAAGTACAGCTGAGACTGATGGGGATGTAATTAGTTTTGCAGGTATTTGGTACAGGCATGTCTGAACCAAATGTCTTGATAATCCATCCAGCAGTAGTGGAGACATGCAACTCAAAAACACAAACTTAAACATCACGGTAGTGCTAAAAGTCCACCAGAATCACTGGGATTCATCGACTAGGTACCATTAATGTTCTATCTATCTAATAGTCACACTATACTTATTTTTGACATGCAGCTAAATATTTCATTTCAAGTTACAACTTTGATATCTTGAAGCAAAATTAGAGTATTTATCAAATTTACAGAACACATAAAGTTTCAAACAACTAGCAGCTCATTTGATAAGCTTTTGTCATATTAGATAAAAATCCCCACAAAAGGTGATCCACAGCTATAAATCCCTTTTTTGGTGGAACAGACAACTGGTAGTGATCAACAGAAAGGACTGACTGTTCCGTGCGAAGGCAGAGGAGGAGAAGAAGAGTGCACATAAATATTTAGGAGATGGTCACTGGCTCTTTTTATGTCCCTTCTTTTCCCTTTAATCATAGATCATACTGTTTCACATATCTACACTTATGATCTACACTTAGGACACAAATCACCATAAAAAGAGACAGTTACAGCATGTGTACAGAAAGAGAGAGCTGGTAATAACCATGAAGTTGAGGTTGTAGCAGTTACAGGTCTGTTCAGAGGAATGTAAAAAGGCAGGAGGAGACGAGAGTCTGCACAGAAACAATGATTAAGATTTATAGAGCTTACCTGTTAGAGCACACTCACCCACATCTAAACACACTGGCAGTACATGTGAGACACAGCCTGAGCTGAATATACTCTGATTACTGAATAAATGCACTTATTGACCTATATTTAATTTGTGAAACCACCTCATTCGACTCCCACAGTGTGCGTACCTTCATTCCAGCATACACCCAACCCATCCTCATGACTTACAAATCTCGATAAAATATTCTGCAATGACCTTTGGTTCTTTAGCACACAAAGGCCACATTTTTGAAAGGCTCCACGGACATTTTCCAAGAAAACAGAGAACTAACTGATCCATATTGTTAACTTTATGTGAAGAGGCAGGAGAGGACATGATGGCCTTCTTTTGCTGTGCTGTTTTCCAAATGTCACATTAGAATCCCAAGGTGAGTCAAAAAATGCAATTACCAATTCTGGAGAGATACTTAACTGTGAATAAAAAATGACTTTAATACAGCTATTGGCAATCTAACAGTAATATTCTTTCTTTGTCCCTACTATATTAAAATGTCTGTGCAATATATCTCCCTGAAGCCCCTAAGAGGGCCCTAATACAGTCTGAGTCATGGGAAAAATTATTTTTCTGTGCCTTTGCTATAGATATGCCTCTGGTAAAAAGGCCATTATATCCCACAGCAATGACAAAACCATAAAGTGAAGGTATCTGTAACAGCGCTGAGAACAGCGCATCTAAATCAAAGTATCTTTCTGAGATATGAATTAAAGATGCAAATGCATATTTGAGTTTTCAATGACATGTTAGACCCCAAAGTCTATGAGACCAACAACCAAGTGGATCAAGATACATTTAAACTGAGAGAAGGGATAGCACATACTGTAGAGCAAAAACAAGGTGTTACACATCTCACACGCAGCCCTATTTCCTGTAGTATATAAAAGTGGCTATATAAAAGTCAAAAGAAATTATTTTTAAAACAAAATGCAAAGAAAGAAACAAAAACACCCAAACACATTTAGTTAGTTGTCTTAGTTAGTTAGCTTGCTAACATTTAAGCAACCAGAAAAGCAATAATTAGCTAATTAGCAATAAACCCAAAGGACAGTCGAGGCTAATGAGGACGTCATCAGTTTTGCAGGCATTTGGTCAAAAATAAAACTATTGGACAAATTAGAAATTTTCACCAGAGGGTGGTGCTAAATGAAAAGTCACAGGTTCACGAAAGTTATTAGGATTCATCATATGGGAACCCTGAATGGAAAATTTCATGCAATCCATCTAATAGTTTAATAGATACTTCAGTCCAAACCAAAGTGGTGGACAGAGAGACTGACCAACAGCCCAACCAACAGACCAACAATTCATAAAGCCATGGCACGAGCAACCCAAACATTCTGCTTATTTTATTAAGATTGAAAATATTTCACATTTAAGAAGCTGGAATAATTTTTGCTTGTAAAACTGCTCAAACAACTAGTCAGTTATCAAAATGTTCCTGTTGTTTGTCGATTGGCTAATAAATTAATCGACTATTGCTGCAGATTTGTTTTGGACAAAGAGAGGAACATTACGTTCATATCCAGCAATGCACATAACTTTCCAAAAGAAACTCCTAAACATTGAACTCTTATGCAAGGGAGGTTATAGTGCAGGACATAAATGCAGAGATCAGCACAAATGATATCCAGAGGGACATTTTTGGATAGCTTTACAACTTAAATGTGTTTTCTCTAGCTTCCAACTCTGATTTCGTGTATGTACGTATGTCCCGAAAGTCATATATCACACAGCTCCAATAACCTCAGGTGGGTGGGGGTAGGGAGAAAGAGTCACATCAAAATGTAAGAGATGGGAGTCAAACCTCACCCAGAAAGCCCATAGATTTAGGATTCTGTGCATTTTTGTCGCATGAACAAAATATCCCCCCTGCAACGCAGCATAAAAAGTATTCAGCACCAACTGAAACATGACTTCTCAGCTCTCTGAAAGGGATCCAGTTGCAGGGGGTGTAAAGAAAGACTAAGCATTTCCATCACGTGAACACATGACTCAAAATGTTTCATGCATGAAAATATTTCATAGGTAAATCATAAAGTGTACACCATAACAGCAGACCAGATGTGCGCCAGTAAAACTCACAGATCTATATTCATACACACTGACAGGTTCTCTTGCAAAGTTCAAACTCAATGACTATCCTCCCCTTTCATCTAGATAATTTCTCCCCATACAGGCAAAATGTCCCATCCATTCTGACTTCCTCATCATTACCACTTAATCCAAGACTCATCAGTGAGTCACATTCCTCAACACTTCTTTCATTAACTGCTGAGTCAGCTGCATGCTTTATATCAAAGGATATGATATCCCTTGGTGTAAAGTATTTTACTTAAAGGTCATACTTAAACTAAAAAGGACATTTGTCTATAGTTAAGTCCCTATAGTTAAGGTATGTTTTAACATCAGAAACTATTAAATTTAGTCACCTTCATGGTTACATGACAGGAGCAGAGTTACAATCCACACTTTGCTAGAGTCAAACACTTTTTATGTCCATCTATCCATCTCAAGAATCAACAACATGCTATATCTTGTAACGCTAAAGCCCCTTCCGCAACAGTTCATGTGTAACAGAATGATGTGAGTATAGCAATGTCCAACTTAATATTGGCAGAATTACATTTTTCTGTATGTATGATTGCTTTTTATCTGTGTTCTGTGTTAAAAGTGAGAACATGAAGGTAAACGTAACATCTCCAGTGGACACAACTGTATCTCTCTTAGCTTCTTT